AGGTGCTGTAAAGCTGCAGGCATGTCTGTAGGTCCTGCTCTTGCCCACTCAGCCTTATCAGTTAAGGCTTTTTGCTGGAGACACTAAAGCAAAATCAATTTCCCCCTCAGAGCAGACCACAGAGCTCCACGCCTGCCTGCTGGCCACGGCAAACAAGAAAGAAACGAGGAGAGACAGAATGACTGAAAGAAAGAGAAGAAACAAAAGATTCCTATACAGGATCAATCCTGCTTTTCCACTACTTGCTGCATTTTCAGACAGCATCTAGCATCTATTATTAGCCCTACCTACTGTATAATGACATCTTGATACTTTTAACCCTAGAGACACATACTGTATATATGCATGCACACTAAAACACACCCTACATGAATTCCCATACGCTGCTCTGCCTGCCCTCAGGCCTGTGGGCAGAGTAGCGGAGACGGTGGTGGAGATAAGCAGGCAGACAGCAGTAGGTGAGAGGGGCTCAGCTGGTGCTGAGCAGACAGATAGTGAGTTCATGACTGAGGGCGGTTCACACAGGTCAATATGGCCTCCGTCAAAGCCCAAGACACACAGAGAGTCAAATCAACTGCAACGGAGACTCTCCTCACTTCTCTTTGATGGATCTCAGAACAAAACAATGTGGAAACTTATGAATGCTCACGGGCGTGCAGTCTTCACAACACACTCTCCTGAATTTATCTAATTTCCCAGAAGAAGATGCTGAAAAGGATCTGTTTTTGCCTTTTCCATTCTTATGAATATTATTACTTGCACAGATAACCACTAATACACTGTAATACTGGATATCTGAGTTAAGTGTAATAGTAATCAAGTAATATACCGATTAAGGCTGCACAATGAGTTGTATTTTACTGTTATCACGATACGAGTTCCCACAATAAACTCACCGTTGATAGCTATAGATGACATTAAACTGTATTATATGCATGTTGCTCCACAACTAGATTGGTGATAAGGTAGCATTAGAAACTCAACGTATGGCTTAAACCCCACCCACCTGCATGTAGAGCGAAAGACTTAACCATTCAGCTGAACAGCTAATGACAATCATACACATGCGCAGCTCAACAACGTCATTCTGAACTACTAACTTGCGCTTTAAAATGCTATAAAATGATTTATGATGTGTTGACAATTCTCACTTCCAGAGTCGTGTGTATGATGCAGAAACAGCTACTCTCACACAAACCTGCATCGCTGTAAGGATTTTTTTTAAGGAATTAATATGTGTGTGTGTGTATATATATATATATATATATATATATATATATATATATATATATATATATATACACACACACACACACACACACACATACATACACTTACACTTACATATTTAAGTTTGTTCCCTGTAGAGGATGCTTTGACTTCTTTCACTCAAACGTGTAATTAGACCAGGGGTGTTTAAAAATTTGCATAGAGCTCTAAAAAAAGGTGTTCAGGGAATGCTGATTGTTTTTCTAACAGCCTTACAGTGCAGAATAACATGCTTGCATGTCTGATAAGTAGTTATTAGTATTTCATCATTTTTATTTTGCTCAATGAATCATGCTTTTGTAGTTTTACATTTTTGCAATTTGCTCTAAAAGAGAGGTTAGATTTCTGTTTACACAGCAGAAAAAAACTTGCTGCAAATCCTGCCAGAAGCAAACTGTTTTAATCATAATTCATCTCTTCTCATATCGTAACTCTGCTTTATTAAACATCACATTATTGTCCTTATTGTGAAGCTCTAATATCATAAATTTTGAAAAGGCCAAAGAATAAAAAAGGCCAACTAATCACTGCAGATTTTCAATCTTATTTATATTTCCAATTTCAAATTAACATCTCACTATAGTGATGTTGAACACACATAAAAACTCCCCCTTCTTCTGTTCTTCTGTAGGCAAAGAAAGACAAACTCTGCTCATCCCTGAAACAAACCCTTAAACTGCGTTCTTTCCTCACAATACCAACGAAGAAAAGCCTTTCGAAAAACAATGAGACCTCAAGTCAGCAAAAACACACAGTCTTAATTCACACACACAGCGTATGGACTGTGTCTGCTGCTCCCTCAGCGTTGTTCCGTCTTTATTTCTCCATCCCTCATAGAGGTGAGGAGAAAGGCAGAGTTTAAGGGATCACTGCTCAGGTTACCGCTATTAAGCACCAATGTAATTCTGTCTGTGGAAACCACAGCACCATCACTCAGAGCGGCCCCTGACAGGGGAAGAAGCATGTCGCACCATTAAAATGTGATCTCCCTTCAATTTCGCCCATTTCGGGAGCTGCGCCATCACCCCCGTCGTCATTTATTATCTCCCTGATAAAGTTGCGAAAGCTTCAGCTTTAAACCAGCATCTCTTCATCTGACGTGATCGGCCCGGCCTGAAATCAATCGGAATTCCTTGTAGTAAACGCAGAACGTCTCAGAGGAGATGAGTTTATGCGAGCAGGCAGAGGGTTGAACTCTAAGAGGCCTCGTTACCTGATTACTGCTGATTTCACATCAGCCACTTATACGCCGTTACGTACACGCAGTGATTAGAGGCTAATGAAAGGAGGAGGAAAAGCAGCTTTTCATTGTAAGCGAGCAGAGCAAAGGGTTTGGATGTTTGGCACCGGGCCAGCACAACAGCGGCGGGCCTTGCCAGGAGCATATCGTGGCTTCCCTTTGTTCTGCGCCCAATGACTTATGACTTCAGCACAGGTTTCCTGTGATCAGACTTCAGGACAGTTAAGCAGTATTATAACTGAATCGCATCAGATCAGCATTTTTCACTCACTTACATACATATATATGTATATATATATATATATATATAATAAAAACAGTTCTTGTTCTACAATCTGATTGGCTGAGCCATGTTAAAAACAACTCAATATTCAAACACACATATGACCGCACATGTCAATTGGAAGTTGTTCAAAACCACTATTCACATAATATCTTAATGTTGCTGTGGCCAGATTCTACAAAGTGATGCTATCAAGCTAGAAGGTCGAAGTCTAGCATGTGCCTTCTCCCAAACATGTGAAGTGCCAGTGCATCTTTTTGAACTGCTGCTAATACAATGTCACTGGACAGCTCAACAGGCCCGGAGGAGAACGCTAACTGCCAGTACTATTTTGTGAGCTAGCCAGGGGTCGGCAACATGAGGCTCCAGAGCCGCATGCAACTCTTTTACTGCTCTGTTGCGGCTCCACAGCAGAACTAGATTTTTAAGTAAAATAAAATAATCCTGCTCTGCAATAAAATAAAGCTCTGCTGATCGTTCAAACACAGTTTTAACAATAAATGCTCTTAAATGCTGGAATTAATGTGTAACTGCTAATTCACCCTTTAACCCTGAAGATCAGCTCACTACTGCTGGTCACCATAGCAACGCAGATAACAATCTCGCCTAGCTAATAGCTAACAAGAGAGAGAGAGAGAGAGAGAGAGAGAGAAAGATTTAAGACGAACATTGATAATTTGGTGATGAATGGACTTTTATAAGCACTTCAGCTGGTTTCCTTATACATTTAATCTGCAGCGACGAACTGTCAAACACTAAAACGTCACGAGGCTGAAGACAGCTTCTTGTTTGTATTTTCTCGTTCCACCTTAAATGGTGCAGCAGTTACATTCTGGCACCTCGGGCATCATTTAATGGCGAATGCTGGCGAAAGCTGGCGAATGAGAAGCTGACTTCAGCCTTGTAAAAAGTTGAAAGTTGAGACATTTTACAAGAAACTATTATTATTCTACTTTTGCGAAAAAAAAATCCTGCTGGAGATGCGAGAAAAACAGCTATAGCTGAGCTAAAGCTTAAAGCAGAGCAAAGTAAGTCTGTGTTTTTATTTATATTTTTTAGCCTTTACTAGTACATTAGCACATACAGAGACATACTTACAGCCAAGATGGTAAAATGGGCATAAAATGTTGTGGCTCCTATAGTCATTTGATTTTAATTGAAAGGACAAAAGGGCTCTTCTTAACATTTGGGTTGGATTGGGTTTGGGAGGACCATCCTACCCACTCAGAGAGAGTAATGCCAACTACACTGTCTTGGACTTCCGGCCATGGATGGCTGTGACATCACTGAGGATCAAACTCAGGATCTCCCGACAGGGTCAGCGCTTAAATGGGAGCCCTGGACAAATCTCTAACCAATAAGCCCACTTGGCAACCATAGCCTACTGTTAACAACCTACACTGTATGATGGAAGAATTGTTTACTGTAATTATTTATTTTATACTGATGTACTTTATCATATTTTGTCACTTAGAGCCTTGCCACCCCCACAGCCTCACGTGGCCATCTTCTTAACTCTCACCTACAATCCATTCTGAGAATTGACGATGGCCCCTTTAACTCATTTAACACTGCCACCAGAGGGGTTACGGCATGTGCATGTGCAGGGCTTTCTATGCGCTACCATGTATTCTATCTGTATATAAAGAATGTCGGAGACTTCTATCAGTGCTGGATGTACTGTGATTTCTTCCCAAGCAAGCACAAAAGCTCATTCAGAGCACAGTTCAGATCGGTAAGCACTTGCTACTTTGTTCAATCAGAGTAACTACAAAACGTGACTGATACGTGACTTATATTTATATTCATGTGTTGGTTTGTTCTAAAATGTAGTTTTGATGAAAACTAAATAAAAATCTATGAATTTTGGCTTTGTTAGGTCACTTTTTTTACAAATAATAAATAAAACAACAGCAGCACAGAGAAATTACATATTTAATGGAGAATGTTACAATTAAACAGCAGAAACAGCCCCAATTTTGTGTTATTCATAGGAGACAGTACTTTGCACTTGTGTAGTGTTATGTTAATCAGTCTCAGTCAATATTTCTACATTTTTATATATATGTATGGTGTTTTCCAGGCAGACTTCACTCTTCACTCAGAGTGCACTGTTGCTGTGCATATCAGCTCTCTAGCTACCTAGACTTCAGACTGCAAGAAGACAGAGAATGAGAGATGCTGAGAAAGACAGACTGAGGTACACACCTGGTAATCCAGTATGCTGAAGCCGAGGCCTTGCTCTCCTTTCTCCAGCTCCAGCACCTGCACTTCTGTAGACCAGAGAGCCAGCTCTCCCTCTTCATCCTCCTCCTCTGCTTCTCCAGTCTCCTTTCTCTCCACTTCTCTTTCTGGAAAGCTTTGCTCCTGAACTTTTCTCTGCTCAGCTACCTCCTGCTGGAACACTTGTGCCTGATGGGACAGCAAAGTAAGAGGGTGAACTCCTGATTTAGTACAGTATAGGTGCTGTTTAGTTTTGAAAATAAGGAAAACTGCCACTCTGAAAATTAATAACATAAAATCCTCCTCTGGTCGACACCAGATATCAAAAAATAACAAAAAAGCAGTATGAATTGAGATTAAGGTTTTAACGTTAGTATAAAATATTCATATACAGAAAAGGGGTAAAACAGGAAGCAATGGCTATGATTAAATAATTGGAGTATGTGCAGCAGCAGCATCAGGAGGGTCAGTTCATACAGGTGAGTTTTGCACAGCGTTGTACAGTGGGAAGCTCCATGGTGGTCAAAGTGTCAGCTTTATTCAAGGGTATTTACAAAATATCTATATTGGATGAACCATGCAGGAATCAATTTCCACTGTTTCACAAATGAATGAATGAAAAATGAATTTTTCCTCAACATTTTTCCTTTTCTATCGGTCTGGTAAGAGTTAATCTTGCTTTTTTAGCAAATGACTGTGTGAATATTAGTTTAACCGTGTGTGAGTGTATGTGAGACTATCACCTGCTCCTGTAAGCTGGCTGAAGGGCTGCTGGAGCACCACTCTTCAGCATCTTCAGGCTGATACTCCGTCCCCTCTTCAGTGAGGCGTCTACAGCACACCAGGGTGAAGGGAGGGGGGACTTCACGCAGAAAAGCAACTGCCTCTCGCCTGGATTTTCCATACAACTGCACTCCATTCACCTGCACACAAACAGCCAAAGTATTACCGCTCCAAGCACAAGTAGGACATTGCTCCAATCCTTTTCAATAAGTCATTGCTGTAACTGGTTTTAGTTTTAAAAATTCTCCTGACCCTTTGAGATCACCATAAATCTTATGTATATAACCTCACTGTTGGGACAAAAACCTGCATCTCCACAATTCTAACTTTACAGAAGGAAAAACGTTCTTAACTTTCTACGCAAGTTAATAGCATTAGCAGCATTTTTTTTTCTACACACTTAAAAAGATGGTCCTTCAAGGGTTCTTTAGTAAAGGCAACTGTTCTATTTAGAACCAGGAGTTTTTTATAGAGCCATTTCATGCTTAAATATTTCTTTGCGTTCTTCAGATTGAAGGAAAACATGTTTTTTTTAAAATGGTTCTATATAGAACCAAAAAGGGTTCTGCTATTGTTACAATGTCAAGCTTGTGACAAAAGAAGATTCCTTCTGATGAAGGTTATTCAGATTGATGGAGAACATACAACACATTCTCCATCTATTAAGCATGCAAAGTGTTCTATATAAAACTCATGGTTCTAAAAGAACCATTGCCTTTACTAAATAACCCTTGAAGAACCACCTTTTGTATGTGTGTATGCACTTTGTGAAATGCAAATTGGTCCACTTATCATCAAATTTGACAAAAACAAACATTTTTAAATTCTGTAAAAACAAATAAATAAAAATATGTATTAAATTTAAATATATAAAGCATATATGCTTTCTTTTCTTATTCACTATACATGACAGGAAACAAATTGAGTACAACCCTAATTTACCAGTATATAAAACCCACATGTAAACCAGCTCACTTTGTACTGTCTCCCATTAAACAATAACATACCCATGTCATATTGCCAATATTCACCAATAAACCACCAAAATATTAACAAAACAAAAAAAATCTCTACTTAGATTATCTGTTTAAGCTACTGAAATGAGCCGAAATACCAGGCTGTAATTTTGTTGAGACATACTAGTCAAACCACATCCCTTTGCCAGAGCCCTTTACTGACGTTTAATATGGTGAGCAGGAAGTAGGACCGGCACTGTGCCATCTGCTCAGACCAAGGGATGCCATGGCTACTCTACACCTCCCCCCTGCTCACCCCAGCACCACTATACACCACTGGGCTCAAGTCTGTTCACAATGTCTCTTTAGAAAAATCTATTAAGAGTTCAAGCACTACAGTTGTACAGTTGGCATTTCAAACATGCATATAAATCAAAGAGTCCTTTGGACAAACTCAATGAGCCTGGAGTGACCTCATGCCCATGGGGTAATCTGTGCTGGAGCAAGATCAGACACCTCCCAGTTTGGAATGTAATTCATCTTATTTTCCCACTTCACTCAACTACGAAATAAATTGTTTTGTGAGATATTATAATACTTTCTAAAACATCCTATCATCATACCAAAATGTGTTTGATTAAAAAGGAGCTAGCCATGAGATTTCTGAGTATTTCTACCACGCCATGCCTTTTTGGACACCACGTCCACTATACTCTTCGCACCTCAAAAGAGCTGAGCAAAACAGCTGTCTTGTGACATAATTCTATTAGTAACTCATGCTTTAGCAGGAACATGCTTTCCAAAAAAGCTGTTGAGATTGTCTGAAAGGCAGTGCTGACGGTAATGCAGTACAAAGCAATGCTTTACGGTAATGTAGCTATTTTCCCCACACTGAAGTAGTGCGGGGTGCTCAATACGTCAATCACAGTCAACCAGTCTATCGCACAGTGCACGTTAGTAGATCGCACCTCATTCAAACAGGCCATCACATTTCAACACCTTCTTAGTGCTCTTGAGGCAGACAGGTCCACGTCATTCACGCAAAATGTGGCCATTATTTCTTTAATTTACTTCTTGGTACCGTAGCTACACCACAGCCGGCCTAAAGCACTGCTGTGAATGTGTCTCTCTAGAAATCTAGAAAGTCATTTATCGGTAGCCAGTTCAAGTAACGCCATTTTTCTTTTGTAACCTACACTGACTCTGTCAGAAGATGAGTGTGAGACGGAGCACAAAGAAACCGAAAACTCACCTCTTCCACGCAGAGCGAGAGGAGAACTAATTTTTTGTCAAACTCCAGATGCATCTGCTTCATTTGCCAAGTAGCCATCACACTTCCAAAGAAAGGGAACGTCGAGAGGCATTTTTGAACTATATACAGAAGCTATGACAACGAAGTCTCAGCTAAAAGTTAACTCAGGAAGAAAAAAGTGGTCCAGACTACACAAACCAGCTGACACCATTCAGTGCAAATCATCAGAATAAGGTTCGATTTTTCAGTCGTTTGCCCTGTAATACCAACCATCCATATACGCCATTTAAGTGCATTAAAAGGTTTTAGAGCGTTTAAACAAGGATGAGGCCAGCCTTTTTTTTCTTTTTTTTTTTAGGTAGATCACAATGTCCAAAACGACCTGTCCAAAAGTAGATCTCAAGCCACAAAAGTATGGGCACCCCTGAAGTAGTGTAAATCATTACAGTATAAATTCTTGTGCATTTCACGTTTCAGATACTAACTGAAGAATTACGTTACTTGCAGTACTCATATGTTTTGAACAGAGCAATATTAATGATACACAATCATTTAAAAATAAATTTCCACCATATATGCTATCCATGCCTGCCCTTGTATATAATTTGCACAAGCATGTGCTACCTGCATGGCTCACTGAGCAGCTTTGATTGTGAATATGACCAGCGCAGCACAGTGTGAAACAATCTATAGAGGCATCTAATCATATTAAAAGGAAACTGATGGAAAAAGATCGCTGTGCTGAGGAACAGAGAGCTCCAACCTCACCTAACTGATCAAACCTGAAGCTGATTTTTGAACTGTTTCTTATGGCTGAACAGTTTGACAAATTCATAATTTTATTCAGTATAACTGGCTGTGTCTAGTTCAAAGGCAAGTATACTGACAGATTTTTCAATCTATGTTACTGTGTCTAGAACAGAAATGACTACTGGGTTTTCTTTCGTACTTTAGAATTGGTACTTTGGCATTTTGTTTGTGTTTTAAAGAGAAACATAAAGCAAAGAAATGAGTAGTGAGACTTTTTCCAAGAAGTAATACATGCAGTAATACAATTACAGTTTGAATGAAGTAATTAGTAACTTCTAAAGGCTTCACTCTTTTAAATAAGGAAACTCATGTATGAGAGAAAATCCTTACTTAAGAACCCATTAACCGTAGGATGTAACGACACTTTATGGTTATAGGCCTCCCCCGGCCTCATCGACCTGTTGGATCAGTCACAACTCAGTGTTCCAAAACCTCATCATTTACAAATTAAGCACTGCCCATGCGTCCAGCACCCCATTCCGTCCTGCACCACAGCCACATAGCAGAACCTCCTGGGCCACGCTTTATCAGGGTCGCTGCCAACAGCAACAGGCTGAGGGCACAGCAGCCTACGGCCACAGGACCAGGTGGGGGTGGAAGGGCAGCAGAGGGGCCAGGAAGCAGAGGCGGTGGGGGAGGTTTAGAGCAGTGGACTGCAATGCAGATGGCCTCGGTCAGACTCAGGGGCCCTCCTGCTAAAACATCCATGCGCCAGCAGCGGCGGCAGCAGCACGCCTTCCTGGAGACCAGGGACTGGCAGGATGCAAAGGTCAGTCTTATTAGAGGAACAGAGAGGAGCCACACCAAAAGCTAGCCAAAAACCAATCTGAAGTCTGGCCAAGCTGTGGGACCACCTGACCATGATGCCAATAGGAGAGAGAGAACGGAGGTGTTAAAGTTTATAAGTGAGGATGCAGACTGGTGTGTTTGTTTTTAACACGTTTACCTCCAGAAGTTCGTCCTCTGGTCGAAGCAAGCCATGCTTGGCCACAGGGCCTTCAGGGGCCACTGTAGAGATGTAATGATGGCCGTCAAAGGAATCCAGCTCCACACCCAAACGCATGGTGTGTATTGGGAGAAGCTACAAGGAGGAAAATAAAGTTTAGAATCCTTAAGCAAATTCTGAGAGTAATGCATTTTTTGTACCATAAGGATGGATTCAAAAATATTGATGTTGTCAGAAGAAAACCTTGCATCTCCAAAATGATAACTTTACGGGAAAAGGAAAAAATATACCTTTTAATGTAAGTCAATGGAACCAGACTTCTTTCCAAGTCATTTTGGGCCATTTTATTGGTCCAATCTTCATTAAATTTACACACAATGTAAAGAGCAACAGGTATTTTCAATTTATGTCAAAAACTAAAAAAAAACGACAAAAATGGAGATACGAGGTTTTCTACCGACAGCATGCTTCTACAATACCTTTGAATATTTCTGCAGCTCAGCATCGTCTTCAATGACGGGGTCCAGCTCAACAACCTGAAAAAACAAAAAACAATTATTGGATGAAAAAAGGATATCCGGTTAAACGTGGAGGAAAAAATAAAGGCCAAAAAAATGTATTTAGGCTAAAATGAATGTGGAGCCATGGTTTACTTTTTTAGGGTGTTGCACACAAATGTAGTATCACTCAAAGAAATATGTTATAAAACATTTCAGAATTCAAAAATGCATCCTTAGCTATGTTAAGGCACCTGCATGTTGGAGTAGCAAAATATAGAAAGCTTACAAGCAAATATAAGCAAAACTTTCACCTTTTACAGTTATTAAAACAAAATTGGTGTTTCACTGAATTGTTGGTCTGTTTTCTCTCGTCTTCCCATGATAAAACACAACGAACAGCCAAACAGTAATTTCCATATTTGAATAGTAATAATACTTTCCTTTATAAGAGCTTTACAACACGTACTTTCCTTCAGCGATCATATGATAATCCTTACAAAAGGGTTACATAGACTCAGTGAACATCATATTTCTTCCAGTTGTTTCTGAATCAGCAAAGCTGGACCAGTTTTCCATGTAAACGGGAAAAACTAACGTGATACTATAATCTGTTAGGCATGCACAAACCAAAGGGAAAACTTTGCCAGCAAGATGTTTGGTTTCCACTGTCATAACAATTACAAAATATGAAAGAAAAAGCTCCATTACTCTTCTCTTCCATGTGATTTCTTTAAGATAAGTACTACTATCTAACATCTAGGTTTACACAACTCAATGAGCTCAGTGCTCTTACTTCGTAGGTATTAAAAGTACTTTCTCCAGTTTGCTTGCCAGTTAACATATTCTCTTACCATAACATCATACTGAGGGCCAAGCGCCTGCTCCCATTTGGTACGCAACTCCAGCTCCGTCAGTGGGACTCGCTCTCGCACTACAAAATAAAGAGAATGTTATAATAGCTAGGCTTAAAGTAAATTATGGTCATTTGGAAGCTTGCTGTCTGCAACAGAGAGAGCTGGGAAAACAAAAAACATATGACCTTAGTGTCAGGTGGCGTTGCAGTGCTGGGGGACAGACGTCATTTTGAGTGATGAGAATAATAAATGAGTCAGAAGGTAATGCCTGAGTGAGGGGTCAGATGTGGTAACACAGCAAAAGCATCAGACTTACAGTCGTATGCAAAAGTTTGAACACAATTCTGGTCAAATAACATTTTCAGTTAATCACAGAATGAATATATATATATATATATATGCGAACATGTTTAAAATTAAGCAAATAAACAGTAAGTGTGCTTTAAATGCACCGCATTGTGTCCTCTGTAAAGGACGTTTGAACTTCTTTTCACTTAGAATGTCAAATAATTTGACCAGGGGTGCTAATACTTTTGCATAGGACTCACTGTACAGAGATAAGTGAAAAACACACGAAGAGGGAGAAAGAAAGGACGTGAAGTGCACAGAGTGAACCGTAAATGAACTGGTGGAGAGAGGGTGGTATGAACACTGGAGACAAATGTAAAAGAGCTCCCACAGTAATTTAAGCCCCCCAGGACGACAAGCAACCCCCTTGGTTTACACGTGTAACTATTCCAGTCATCTCTCTGGAACGAGAGAGAGAGAGAGCGCGCGCATCATTCACACATACACAAAGGGCCTCAGCACACAGAACTGATTAAATTAGCATTTCTACACCCCCACTCACAACACCATTCATCATAAGTGTTTGACTACATTAATACAGCAATGCATCGCTTTCGGGTTTGGCACGTCAAACTAGCCAACATCTGCAGGCCAGGTGCAGCAGGGAGGAAAAGCTGGACACGAAAGGAGCGTTTCCTTACTGAGCAGGGAATACAGTGCTTATGCATCAGGGAGTGGAAAGCTTCTGGACCGATGGAATATGTTTCTCTACTAATTCACGACTTCTGAACTCAATAGCAGCCACAAAAGCCTGTAAACAACATGTCATCAATGCAACATTATAGTTCTGATGCTGTTGAGAATTGAAAGACTATTACATCGCAATTAGAGCTGTCAGGATTAATCAGTTGAACTTGATTCCTTCAGTCCCTAAAAAAAATTTAATAAAATGTACCTTCTCAAGTCTGCATGATGATGCATGTTGTAAATAATCCTAGGACTCCTCCCTCTTACAGTAAGAGACATTTTTGGTGACACTTTTGGCCCAATCCCATTTCACCCCTCGCCCCTACCACTTAGCCATTAGCCCTCTGTTTTGCGTGTTCACGTCTATCGTCGGGTGTCCCGATTTTTGTTGAGATAGAGGGGTAAGTGTTAGGGCTACATGGCCCTCCAGATGGATGTTTTTCAGAGGCTCACTCCAAACGGAGTGTTATGAGAAAAAAAGAAAAACCAGCAAGATGGCTGAGCGAGCGACCAAAGAAACCTACAAATATAAGTATTTTCTCTTTTTAAAAAAATACGATAATCACTGTATTGTCTTAGTTTAACGTCGTTTCAACGTATTATGGTCATTTTCTTCATAACAAGCCTAAAAAAACGCTAATAGCATGCTAATGTCTCGGTAGCTAGCTAGCTAACTTTCCCATTCCACCTTAAATAGTCCAGCAGTTCTGACGCCTGAAGCTAAGGTTAGGGTTAGGATTAGGGTGAGGGTTAGGTTTTCGGTAAGGTTGGGTAAGATTAGGTTTTGCGTGATGGAAGTAACAGATTAACAATTTATCTACTTAATGTAAGTAATGTATCAACAACATCTACAGGATATTTAGCTCAATGTATTCAGATGCTTCACTACTGCTACTTCACTGATATGGTGCTGCTGTGTTACTGATAATCTGTTAAGAGTTTATTAATCATCTACAAAGGACCACTCCAAATAAAGTGTTACCACATTTTTTGCCATAGTGTTTTTTAAACAATCCTGTTCATAAGTTGGAGACCACCCTTGATTTATTTCTTTTCCAGTCAAAACAGCCAGCAAGTTATTCATGTTTTAGTGTCAGGACAAAAAGCAGATGATTACACAGAAGCCTCACCAACTATGTATAATATAAATATTCTAGTGTTTAGTGTGTCCTCTATTTGTCTTGATTACATTCTTTTCCATTCGTCCATTCTTTTCAGGAGACTCACTTTCAGTTTTTAAAAGAAAACTGCAGGGATATTTTGTTCACACTTCCAAAGTTCAGTCTTAGAAGTTGGTTGCATTTTCTGCTTCTCACAATCCAAAAAATCCCAAACACATTCAGTGATGCTGAAGTCTGGACTCTGGGGTGGTCAGTCCATTGTTCTGGGAAGGGCTTCTTGACATCTACACATTCTTTCAGACCCATAGCACTGAGTCGTCTTCTCACAGTGGAAGGATGGACAGAGACACCTGTGGATGTTTTCAGATCTGAAGCAGCTTGATTTTCTCCTCTCTCTCAAAGATGAAAGCTTTAAGTCCTGTTTATCTGATGGGGGCAGTTTTGGTGTCTACCAGGTTTTGCACTGTTGTGCATTTTCTTTGTATCGTTTAATCAGTTTTTAAACTCCACTTCTAAAGTAAATGATCTTATATTTAATCTCCTCAGAAATCTCTCCTGAAAAATGAATAACTTGGCCATTTTGACTGGAAACTTAATAAAGCACTTCTATATAGTACTGTGTATTTCTTAAATTAAGTCTTTTTGAAGGTCTTCTAAATTACCTTTCCCGAATAGAGTGTTTAGGAATCTTTCAAAGGCTACTCAAGGTTTGTTATCATTCAGCTCAGTCCATTTTTATTGTCTGGCCTTTTCGAAAAAAACTCAGATTACTTGATTGATCATCAGAATAATCATTACATTACTCAAAATAATCTAATTATATAATCTACTACTATGATCGATAGCAGCAGCCCTAATCTCAATCAAATTAATCTATGGTGTTTACCACACTTCAAAAGTGATTGAAAAGCTCTTGCTATCAGGTTCTGGGCACATTAGTACAGAATAAGTCTTGGAGGAAATTGAGGCAAAACCCTGAGAAACTGGTTCAGAGTGGAAGGCGGCCAACATCCTAATCGGTTTTCATGGCAGGAACAAAGCCTGTTCAACATCTGTTTCCAGAGACCTTCAACTTCACGACACAGAGAACTGCTCACTTAATGGTGCTTCCAATGAAATCACCTTTAAACAAACAGAGAGGCAAATTCCAAAAAAAGAAAGAAGAAAAAACACTTCACGAAGCCTAGCGTCCAAGCTACTACTCGTAGAGAAAACCTTTAACACATATGTGGACTTCAAATCATGTCATTTAAAAGTGACATCACATTTGACACAACACAAAAAAAAGAGAGTGAAAAACACATTGTGAGTAAGATTAAAAGGGAGATTGTTTCAGTTTAAGCTATCGTTTTACAGGCACTACGGCGGCCCCTGTGGGGAAATAAGCCTCTGACAAGCAATCATTGTTATCCTGGGCTTGTACTGGCCCAGTGCAACAGAACACTTTATTTAGGAGTTTGGCAGGTACCAGGACTTGTCTGGATTAATTAGGCCGGTGTGTAACTCGAGCTGGTCCTGGGTCTTGAACAGGATCGCTCTTCCGCTCCCAGCCATACCATTTTCGTTTACATCCGCCGGCTAGAATGAATGAAACTGCCCAACTCGGGGAAGGAGTTTAGGGAGTTGGGGTGGGAGTAAAAAAGGGCATGAGGCAATCAGTAAGAGGAAGCCTCAAACGCTCCACCCACAGAAGTAGAATAGATATCTGATGTAAAATATGCTAAGACGGCCACAATTATTAGATTAGGTACAATACTGGCGTTCTTTGACAGGTAACATTTGGGTTATTAGGACTGGCAGGCCTTAAACAGTGTTATACCAAGATGCATGCGTTCATATTTATAATTAAAGCCCCCTTAAAGAGGATGTGACACTCTTATACGCAAAAACGCCAGCTTTGGTTGCTAGATTTAAAAGAAAAAGTTCTTCTCTTTATAATTCAAGGGTTTTCAGTTCACGTAAATGGCTAAACAGCTTGCAAATGAGAAATCCTCACTTGACTGTTTCACCCAGATCTGTTTTTGTTGTAGAACTATTTTGACAACTGCCAGCCAGGATGCCTGACAATCAAAAGTCTGGCTTGTTAGACTAGCCTGAAGATGACCTCTTGCCCAGAGGGAAGTGGACTGGGTTCATGAGTTTCTCCACAGGTGGTGGTCAGTATTGAAAGCAACAAACGTCAATAGATTCCTTCAGGGCTGCTGGAACCACGGCAGCAAACAGGCATTTGACCCACCACTTTTCAAAGTACTGGGGCGATGCCCCACTACTTTTTTAGTTCAGGACGCATGCAAATAGTGTACTTTATGTACAACATACTTTTTGTAAAAGTATTATTATTTGAAAATACTCGGGAGACTAAAAATCCATCAATATTTTTCAATTTGAAGTATATGTACTTGAGTAAATGTAACTAGTTACTACCCACCTCTGAATAAAGACCTGTCATTAGCATGACATGAAAGGCAATTTTAGTCAGTAGTATAATTGCATAAAATGCCACCCTTTTGAAACAATATTTTGCCCCATCACTTTTGGGGGTGTGACACCACCCCTGGATTCATTGTAGAGAGATGAGAGATGGAAGGGCAATAACAGGGAATATCATCCTAAGCAGGATTTAGATTTAATGTGGATAAGACTATGTCGTAAGTGTGTTTTATGGTAAAGGATAAGATCAAAGCCTTTATGTGGATGACTTCCCTGCAGCCGGCATATGAGAGAATATGTATGGGTTGGAAGACAACCAGAAAGGAAGAAGGACATAAACTTTTCTCTATTTTCCTTACAGCCGTGGTCTGTCATACTGGCCCTGATGTCACATCAAGAAGCTAGGACGTGTTGGTTTTGGTTCATTTGGTACAAAAATGTCCTGAATTTGAAGCAAAATCAGATAAATACAGAGCTAATATACAATGTCAATGGCAACAAAATGGTCCTGACTTTGAAAAGAACTTTTTATATAAAAAGCAGAGTTTTACTTATGGTCAGTAAAGTTAAGACTATTTTTAGGTTGAGGCTTATAAACTTATTACATGTAGGTAATTAAATATACATACATGGATTATTACACACACACACACACACACACACACACACACACACACACTACATATGCATGTTGTATGACCCCACGTCCTGACTGTAGTAAAAACAAACCTGTGTATGTGTGAGAGAGTGTGGGAGAGAAAAGCAGACTGTAAAGTATGAGCTCACCTCTTCCAGACGACTGCTGTTTGATCGCAGTCAGAGCCGGCTCCACTGGCTCCATCAGAGACGCCGTCTGAACGTCCGCCCGCACCTTGATCTCCGCAGACCTCCTCAGAGACACACGCGATGGCTCCCTCTGGACTACACACACATACACACACACACACACACACACTCATCACATTCACAATTTGCCTTGGTCTCTGGACTTAGGTCTGTTGCTAAGACACTGCATTTTCCGATCGAAAGAGGAGAACGTCAAGCTATTTGATTTGCAGGTTAGAAGAAAGAAAAACAACTTTTTTTTTGTAAAGAGCTCATTATGTAGTAAGAAATCTCATTCCAAGTCAGCTCACTGACCATCTGAGAAACTGCTATTTAGAATTACCAAAAAAAAAGTTATTTAATCAGTTTAATAAATATGATTTGTAACATAACATTAATATAGTATCATGGCAAAAAATGTCACATTTTATTTCAAATAATACCACCATTCACAGCCTCCTGAACTCAAAAGAGAAACAATTCTTGTTCATGTTAACATCAAATGTGAATGCAGCTTGTTCAAAGGTGTTTCTCCTCAACAGTTATACAGCCAGTCAGAGTGAGCTCAGCTCCTGTGTTAAAAGGCTATGCTAGACGGGAACCCCCTTCAGGTCCAGTCAGAGTCAAGCAGGCGTGAAGTGCCATGGTCCAGTAGTTTTACGGACCTTTGGGCTTACAAAGACGTAAAAACTAAGGCATCAAACCCAGCCAGCCAGGTGTGTTAGAGTTAGATTGCTTTCTACTATAGGATCTACAGATCATGTGTTTTATCGATAGGGCACAGTTGTGCTTCCCTAAAACCTATTGCACATAATCACCGATCAGCTTGTATCAACAAAGATGCTTACAAGATTTTTTCCACCTTAAAAATTTTAGAAAGTGCAGCACTACTCGAAGAATGAGTGATGTTTCATTAAAAGTTTTGCTTTCTTGCAAAAAAATACACCCAAACTTCAGACTGAATATAGACTATATGGACAAAAGTATTAGAATATACCTCTTCATCACTGTTTTCAGATGTTTCATTTGGTTCCATTGCCACTAGTGTATAAAATCAAACACCTAGCCATGTAGTCTGCCTTTACAAACATTTGTGAAAGAATGGGCCGTTCTAAAGAGCTCACTGAATTTGAGTGTGGTTCTGTAATAGGGTGCCACCGTTACAACAACTCAGTTTGCAAAATTTCTTCCCTCCTATATATTTCACAATCAACCATGAGTGGTATTGTTGAAATGTGGAAGTGTTTAGGAACCACAGCAACTCAGCCACGAAGTTCTAGAACACGTAAAGTTACAGAGCGGGTCACTGAGTGCTGAGGAGCACAGTGCATAAAAGTCACCAACACTCTGATTTAATAACTGCAGAGCTCCAAACCTTCTCTAGCATCAACATCAGCACAAAAACTGTGGCCGGGAGTTTCATGGCATGAGTTTCCATGGCTGGGCAGCTGCATGAAAGCCTTACAATCACCAAGCGTTGGATGGAGTGGTGTAAAGCACCTCCACTGGACTCTGGAGCAGTGGAAACGTATTCTGTGGAGTGACAAATCACGCTTCTCTATCATTCTGATGGACGAGTCTGGGTTTGGCAAACACCATGAGAATGTTACCTGCCTGACTGTGTGTGAGCTGTAAAGTTTAGTGGAGGAGGGATAATGCTATGGGGTTGTTTTTCAGGGGTTGGTCGAGGCTGCTTAGTTCCAGTGAAGGGAAATCTTAATGTTTCAGCAGACCAAGACATCCTGGACAATTGATTGCTTTCAGCTTTGTGGGAACAGTCTGGGGAAGAACCTTTTCTGTTCCAGCATGACTGAGCCCCAGTGCACAAAGCAAGGTCCATAAAGGCATGACTGGGTGAGTTTGGTGTGGAAGAACTTGACTGGCCCGCACAGAGCCCTGACCTCATCCCCACCCAACACATTTGGGATGAACTAGAACAGAGATTGCAAGCCAGGCCCTCTCGTCCAACATCAGTGTCTGACCTCACAAATGCACTTTTGGATAAATATGCGAAAATTCCCACAGACACTCTCCAAAATCGTGTAGAAAGTTTCCCAGAAGAGTAAAAACTGTTATAGCTGCAAAGGGGGACCAACTCCATATTAATGCCTATGGATTTAGAATGGGATAGTTCCCGTAGGTGTAATGTGTAGGTGTCCTAATATTTTTTCCATATAGTGTACAATGATTTGCCAGAATACTAGGACCACCACGAGCCAGATATTATTTGTGTGGTGGAGCAATCTCAGCACAGTGGCACTTACAATGTAGTGGCATCAGCAGAAAATTGTGGATATGATATTGAAGAGAAAACAAAGAATGAAAGTGATCAAATGTTATAACAAATTTACCCTGAAATAGCACTCACTCACACTGTGTGATGAGATGTTCTGCTTGTGGGGTAGTAGAGTGTTTGAGTAGTTTATGCTTATCTTGAGGACTACAGTTAGATGCTCATCTCCAGGGACTACAGTTGAAAATTAGCCTGGCTAAACTAACACACTTACAGAAATGTTTATTAATGTGCAATCTAAATAAAATAAAATAAGCGCTTCAATTTCAAAAGCACCTTTTAAAGCTTAGTAGCCAGCTGAATATCGGCTAATACTCAAAAAGCGGTGACAAACCATCTCAACAAGAAATCATCCCCGGGTCGTAAAACATCACTCCTCAGTGACGCCCTGTACTGCGCAGGGTGCTCACCTTTATCCAAAGACTTTTCAACAGATGATTTCTTTGGGGAAGTGATTTTGCGGAGCACAGTGAAGCGCACAGTCTGGCCCGTCTGCTTCATCACATCCAAGACCTCCTGGGTGGTAAAACCCTGAAGGTTCACTCCATTCAGCTGCTCAGAGAGAAGAAAGAGAGAGAGAATGTATGTGCAGAAGTGAGTGCAACTGTGGGACTACCACAAACAAAGAGACAAAAGGTTTCATGTATTAAGGTAAGTAGTTTTGTGATGCTGTGGCACGAATGACTGGCACAAATTAGCCCATTCACACAACATGATCCACCATTTCAGCTGCCCTGTTCTCTGCTCACCCCGTTCTTATTAAACCGCAAAAAAATAAATATGAGGAGAACGAGATGTGTTGCGCGGCTGGTGTCCTGCTCTGCGTGTGTATGTGTCTGCGAGTGCTCGTTCACATGCAGGGTTAATGAAGGTAGAGCCCATTAAAGAGTCATTAGCAGCTCACCGCTATTATTCTGTCATGGACCATGATATTCCCACTCTGCTCCGCAGCACTGCCTGGGACCACACTCTTCACGAAAATTCCCGTACCGTCTGCAAAAGGTGACAGAGAGAGAAAACTTGGAGAATTCTGCTTAGTCCCAAGTGACATATCACCAGAGTCTTACTTAGGAAGGCACTGATTTGGGAACTTTGGGCTGGTGATATACTTTTCATTTACACATTTACTGAGGCATATACAGAAACCTTTATAAGATTTAATAAATGAAACTACATCTATCTAGATCAGTAAGGAATATAACATTTATTTCAGTGGGGTAGTACAAATTCAGTACAAATTCAACAACATAAGCAAAGGAAAAAAATCTAAAATTTTAATACAGTAGCTCAGCTGCGCCTAAATATTCTGGTCTTTTGTAGTACGATAACTACATCAAATATGAGTTTGAAGTAAAGGTCAAATCTAAACATCTGTGCAACTCAAACATTTTTCCAAAGCAATTATCTGCTGATACTGATAAGATTTTGGTATTAATATGCAGTCCCCAGTTCTGACAAAACCTGGTAAAATCTTTTTTCCCATTCTTCCGTTTTTTTACACCATTAGAAAATGTCAGTAACTGCCTCTAACATTGCGTCAGCACTTTATGATTAATGGACCAATAGAAACAGTCCAAGATTACTTCGAATAAAACCAAATCCTCTGAATAAAAAGTTAAGCTACTACTAAGTTACTACTTTAAAGTTTCTATATAGGAATTATGAGGTTTTATTATGACAGTCATTACAGTCCTAGTCATATGCAAAAATTTGATGCACTGGCACATGCATTGGTTTGTTGATTATCTTGATTATCTAAGTAAAAATAAGTTTGCACATCCTCTACAGAGAACACACTTCTGCACATTTTAATGCACAATTACTGTTTGAATTTAACAAAACTAAAACTTAAAATGTGTTCTGTGCCAATGTTATGGCATATTCCCATATACACACACACACACACACACACACACACACACACACACACATATATATATATATATACACATATACACACACACACACACTCAGCATATTAAATAAATAAATACACAGAAATTGTACACTAAAAGTTGCAGAAAAATGTAATTTAAGTGTGTTCTCTAAAGGGGAAGTATTAACTTATTTTCAATTAGAAACTCAACAAAACATGTAATTAGACCAGGGGTGTTGAAATTTTTGAATATGACTATATGGTTTGTATTACGATTAAATGTTGGGTAAATTTTTCTTTACCTTCGCTGGTTGGTGTGTTGCGGCCAGCGATAGAAATGCCCAAACTCTGGCCTTCCTTCTTCTTTAAAGACACTTCGTGAATCTCGTAGCCTTCCAGGTTGGGCTGAATCAAGAAAAAAAACGAATAAAACAAAACACAACAATCCACTCAAACAGCTGATTACATGCTTGACATAATGGGGTGCAAATGTGCCTGCATGATGTGCATGAGCCTTTAATCAAACAGCAGGGAGAGACTATTCATTACCTCAGATAAACCAGTCCAAAACTTTTTAGCAGCACATATACAGACTTTACCTTCTGTTGTATGTAAAAGTTTGAACACTACAGGTCAAATTATGTTTAGTTCATTTTCATGTTCACAGGTTTTGTTCATCTACAGGGAGCAAGTTTAAATATGGCATTTTCTGCAGATTTCAGTGCACAATTTCTATTTAATTAATATATTAGAAAAAATGCTAAATGTGTGTAACATTCCACACTGTTTAGTTATTTTTATTTGTTTGTTAAAAGTCAGTAAATAAACAGCAATTGTGCATTAAACTGTGCAAACGTATGTTCTCTGTAGAGGATGTGTTAAATTATTTACACTCAGAAAATCAACAAAACGTCATTTGACTAGGGGTGCCGAAACTTTTGCATAGAATTGTATTGGTTAAACCTATTTACAACATATAGAGTATATAGTCAGATCCATTATTATTGGCACCCTTGGTAAAAATGAGAAAAAAGTGTGTGGTTAATTATCTCAGTTTCACACTGAAAATTAGAGAAATCTAACTTTTATTTGAAATAAATTTACACTACAAAAACATTAAATACATTTTTTAAGCCAAATGTGTCAGAATTATTGGCGCTCCCTGCATTTAGTACTTTGTGTAAGCTCCTTTTGGCAACATACCAGCAACAAATCTTCTCTAATGCCCATTTAGACTGTTACAACCATAATTGAGAGGTTTAAAACAACCAGAGTTTTAGTGAACTAGCCTAGAAGAGGCAAGGGTATTTTGCCCCCACGTAGCATGAGGAGAATGGTTAGAGAGGCAAACATTTCTCATAACCTTCATAACCTTCTTTTTGCCCAATCTGTAACCAAGGGTACCAATAATGGCTGTACTCATGAATGAATCATTCACTCATTTAGCCACAGTGCTTCACTGCAACTCTAGAATTTATTAATCTGATCTTAGCGGATGGCTACTGCTGCTCTGCCCTGAGGGCACACACACAACTCAGCCTCTGCAGCTGGTTAAAGCATCAAATACCCTGATATTCAAAGGTTTGGAATCATTTTTTCAATAATATAAAGAAATGGATACAAAATGATTCCAATATGCTAGGCCTGTCCAACGTTACAGGTTTAGAACAATATTTAGGTAAAATCTGTAAAAAATACATTTTAGTTGTGTTCGGTATGATGAACAGGGCTGTAGAAGATTAAAATGACTGAAAAAGCTTTATAATGTCAAGAATGAAGTAATAATACAGTTAACACCCAGACTGCCTCATATTACAAATGTAGTGATCAAATCTTGAAGCAGATCAGTAGACAAAAATAGAAAACTGCAGTGTCTGATCATTTCATATTTTCTTTCTGGCTCCCAAATACTCAAAATATTGAATAAAACATCTAAAAACTTGTCTAGTTTATAATATTTAAATCAATGTTCTGTCTTTTTATTGTAGACAAAATAACAAAAAAATGATTGATATTGCAAGTGATTCCAAATGTTTCAACACTAGTGTGCATGACTCAAACTGTGACGTAAGGGCCCCTACTGTTCTGCTGGTTCTGCGGGCTGGTATGGGTGGTGGCAGTGAGGTGACTGGTGCGGTGGCTGGTGCAGGTGGGGGAGGTAGAGGAGGCTGTGTTTCACCCAGAGGGTCCCTAGCAATCAGCATGCGCACTCGAGTCCCGCAGGCCTGCAACACCTGCACCACCTGCTCACTGGTCAACCCTCGCGTGGGCGTGTCCCCAATCCGCAGGATGTGGTCACCTGTCCTCAGTCGTCCATCCTGTGAAGGGAAACAAAACACAAAGAAAGCAGATAAATAAATATATTATTGTGATACATAATCTATACCGGCACTGGTGTCACACAACCCGGATTTTCAGTTTTAGTGGTATTCATAGACAACAAAAACTTAACTGCGATGTGTGTCACTTACTGGCTGCCTCAGACTGTTTTAAAAGAACTGTCGAAAATGCACAAAAACTAAGTGAGCAAGTAAATGTACTGCTTTCTGTAAAGATGTTTAGAACACCATGCAAGGTTCCCCGTGCTGTAATTTTAAGAGAAGCAGAATAGAACAAAAGAATCCAATCAAAAAAGCTACATAAGGTTTGGAAGGCAGTCTTTTAGTACAAAATGGTGGTAAATATGAGTTCCATTAATGGAAACTTGAGTAGCAGCTCGTACGCTGATATATCTGGAAAATATTGTGATGTTGAATTTCACCAATGATGTCCAGCACTAAATCAGATTTAATAAATGAATGAGCGAGTGGGGGGAACAAGTAAAAGAGCAGTACTGATGAACCTTTCACAATTCGGGGAGGTACTCAGAGGATCAAATCAGACTAGTTAACTACACCACATGCTAAAGAAGAAGACTGCTATAAGCAGCTGAAGGAAAATGGGTTCCATATAGCACCAAAAGGGTTCTTCTAACGTTACGATGTCAAGCTTCTTACAATAGAATAACCCTTTTGGTGCTATATAGAACCCTTTACAAAAAGGTTCTATAAAGAACCATGTACAGCACATTCTCCATCAATCTGAGGAATCATTTCATGGTGCAAAGAGGTCTTTTTTCTTTCAAAGCGTTCTTTGAGTGGTCATGGTTTTTATTTTCTTTAATAAAGAACCCTTGAAGAACCTTCTTTTTTAAATGTGTAGTCTAAAGAGACCTGAGGCTTTACTTAAAAGAAAAGAAAAAAGACAGATATTTGACTGAAAGTGCACTGCGCAGTCTTTAAAAACATATAAATTCAAAAGTAAAGTATATTTTAAGCGAGAACCATAAAAAAACTACTTTCCAAGACAGTCAACAGCTAAATTTCAAATTTACAGCCTAATTTGGCTGCGGCACCATCAGGTGCCAGAGACAGCGCAATAACTTCCATAATTAAAGTGCTGCTCTCGCGAGGCCTTTCCTCGGCCCGGCTAAGTTGAGCGACGTATTCTTCACCTCAAGGGTTCAGGTAGGATAAACTACAAGAGGAAAAGGATGGACTGAAGAATCATTACACGCAGACAGGAGAGGAGAACGGGAGCCTTTGTGGAGAAAGAAGACATGAAAGGCGTTTTGATGCATCACCGTGCGAAGGCAAATCTCCGCGTCCCTGTCCCCGCCCGTGTGTGCAGGACAGCAGGGGCGCATTGAAGCCTGGTGCAGCCATTAAAGGCTGAAATGGGAAACGCCAGGGATAACAAAGCCCCAATTTTGACAGCTTTTTTGGAGCATAAGATCCAGTGATGTGTGAAATGCAAGCACTGTGCCTTTTGAACAAGAAGGGTTTTGTTGCCTGAGCTTTGGACGCTGGCAGGGAAAGAAGGGGGGTGTGTGTGGGGGGGCTAAACGAGACGGATGTGTGGAAAAGAAACAGGACAGTATTCTTTCTCCAATCCCTATCCTCTCTGTGTAATCCAATTCAAGAGGGTGAAGTGGACATCAACTGCTGCCATGTTCCCATGTTAAATTTGAGTGCACTGTGGAATAGCTCAGATCGGATCTAAATGGGATTGGTATAAAGTGAACATATGCTGTGTCAGGACTTTTCAATTCACAGCACAAAGCACTCAGAGACATCTTTGTAGCTGTGCTCTTTTACAAAAGAGAGCAGATCTTTTCAACATGATTGTTATTCAGCTGTCTTCTATTTTTCTAATTCAGTGGCTGATGCACAGTTCTACGGCATTTAAACCAGCCACCAACAGGTAAAGTTTGCTATATATCTAGAGAGATCACAGAGAAAACTGCATATCGCTGTTGTCGGAACAAAACCTTGTATCTCCAAAATGGTAACTTTACAGGAGAAGGAAAAAACACACTTTACTTTTAATGTAAGTCAATGGAACCAGATGTTTTTCCCCAAGTCATTCTGGGCCGTTTCTTTTGGCCTATTTTTTTATGAAATTTACATACAAATGTAAAGAGCAACAGGCACTTTCAAACTAAGTCAAAAACTGAAAAATGACAAAAATGGAGATACTGGGTTATATAATATGACTTTCATACAGTTTGCACTAAATATAAACAAACTGTTGAAAAATGAATATGAACTCAGGAAAGAACAATAAAAGAAATACTAACATAAACCAGAAGAATAAGCACAAACATATGAACATCTGTCAGACTGAATGTTGCAAAAGACATCGTAACGAGCAGATCTTGTAAGCTAATGAAATTGATGCCATAACAAAACTGATATCAACACTACTGTAATTGTTATTTTGAACAGTATGTAGGTTTAAAAGAAGTTAAAAAAAAAAAAAAGATAAAAAGTTAAATGCACTATGGCTGTTAAAAAAACAAAACAAAAAAAACATTTGCCTGTGACCAGTGTGATGACCAATGTCATCTTGCTCTGTTGTACCTGTATATTGCCAAACTGAAACTTTATACTGAAAAAAAAAATTCTCAACCAGGACAAATAAAGTTTTTATTACTACTACTTACTACTAAAAAGACTGCTTCAAGGCACATATGCCACGGAGGACCTAGGAGGTTAAAATGACTTATTTTAGACAAGAGAAGTCAGTTGACATCAGTTATAATCTGGTCTGAACCCTCAAACTAGTCTTTAAAATGTAGACCTCCTGAGTCAAGTTTTACTATATCAGCTTGCCCTGGATAAATAGGTTCATGGCTCCATCGTAACGAGCAGATCTTGTGAGCTAATGAAATTGATGCCATAACAAAACTGATATATCAACACTACTGTAATTGTGATTTAGATCGTGGGACAGTATGTAGGACGTGTAAACACAAACCTTATCGGCAACACTGTTTGGCACTAGAGTTCGCACCACCACTCCAGTGGCCTTCCCTCCCACAATACCAAAACCCAGGCCTGAACCATCGTTCATCAGCTCAATCTCCTCCATGTGTCCCCACTGCTCCTGTAAAACACACACAGACACACACACACACCACATGAATAATAAATATATTAACTATGCTCGTCTACAAATCAGCAATCATCTGAAATAATGTGAAATACCTCAGCAAATTTTTGCCCATTGCATCAGACTGTTCTTCTCACATTTAACCTTCAGAAGCCTCCAGTTATTATTAGCATTTTGTGATGTAATCAAATGATATTAAAGAAATAATAAATTATATTTACATTCAATTTATATTCTGTATTGACCGGACAGAGCCAGCAAAGGAAAAAAAAAAATAAAGAATATTTCTTTCTCCAATACAAGACGGTCACTAATTGTAGGAATGTGTCCTTACCACATTTGACTCAATAGGTCAGCCTACTGAGTCTGTTACTAACCACAAATATCTTGGGGTTATCCTGGACACAAAGCTCAAATAGGACCAACATATGGAATATATTAACAGAAAGAGGCAGCAAAGCTTATTTTGCTTAAAAAAAGCTGTTGTCCTTTAATGTAAATCAGACCATATGTAACGTGTTCATGGTGCTTTTACTGAGTGTCTTAAGGCCACCGTACACAGTGTACATCACACAGCACAGCGTCCAAAAATTTTAAACCTTTGTTTTATATGAAGACACGCACACAGGCCAACATTCAGCATTGATGTGCAATGGCACACGACAACTCTAAGCACTTTTCAATTCAGTATTTTGCCATTATTGCAGTAAATTAAACCCAGAACCAGACCAGAAAAAGCCATTGATCACGTGGCATGAAATGTACACTGAGAAAGTCTGTAAGATAAACAGACAAACGCTAATCGTCTGTCACCTCAGCTAACGTCACTAACCTAGTCTTTTTCAACTGTATATTTTACCTAGAAAACAGTGAATTTGTAAAGAGAGTCATCGGATACCAAATGGGGTAAATTCACAAAAGATGCTCCAAGTTTTATTCAAATCTATCCTGAGCCTGAGTTTCTTGAGTATCTTGAGTTTATCGGCACTCTCAATGTGACGCATTCTATGTGGTATAGCGGTGCTTTGTGCTGTATTGTATCTGCTTGGTGATGATCCGAAGCACTGATTTTTCTGTTTGTTGCTCTTTTTGTCGCTCTTTTTGTCGCTGGTGTCAGACCCCAGATTTTGATACCAACAAGGCAAAATTTTCTTTTTTCCTTTAAATTACTAAACAAAACTACCAAAGTATGCCTGAATGCAGTGCCCTCAAATGTTCTGACCAATGAGTTCAGATTGAATAGAAAGGCTTATCTCAATAAGTGTGTTTACATGCACTCAATAATCTGGATTTCTGCAGTTATCTGATTATTCAAATGGTCATGTAAACAGAATTCTCCGATTTCTTAGATCGGAGTAAAGTCTATCGGATTTCTTAATCCGATTTCTTAAGAGAGCTGGATTTTAGCTCAGTGATCAAATTTCTCGATGCATGTGAACTCTTGCTCTGATTTCTTTCGGATTTCTCAGGCTGTGCATGTGTGAAACAGATGGCAGTACTGGAAATAAGCAAGCAGCGCTACCGTGAGATGGCAGCAAAACAATTTTGGAGGGACACTGAAACCAACTACATGCTTGAGGAAAAGACGGAGTTAAGTTATCTTCCATCTTATAAATGATTTATGTTCCTATTGCCAGGCATACAGTTTGAGTTTTACATAATGTTTACATCACGACTTCTTCTGTGAGTTTATTAGCCAGTTGCAAAGCAAAAATCGGATTACTGTCTGACTCACATAGACCCGGAATTTTTTCTATTATCTTATTACTCAAGTGCATGCAAATGCATTGATCGGATTACAGTCAAAACCTGATTTTCTGCAGTTAAATGCACTATGGCTGTTAAAAAAAATAAAAATAAAACTATTTGCCTGTGACCAGTGAGATGACCAGTGTCATTTTGCTCTGTTGTACCTGTATATTGCCAAACTGAAGCTTTATAAAAAAAAAAAAATTCTCAATAAAGTTCTTATTACTATTACTTACTACTAAAAAGACTGCTTCAAGGCACATACGCCACAGAGGACCTAGGAGGTTAAAATGACTTATTTTAGACAAGAGAGGTCAGTTGACATCAGTTATAATCTGGTCTGAACCCTCAAACTAGTCTTTAAAATGTAGACCTCCTGAGTCAAGTTTTAATATATCAGCTTGCCCTGGATAAATAGGTTCATCAGACAAGAGTAACTGTTAAAGCATGACCTGGAACAATACATCACAGGAGAATCCTTACAAGCCAAAAAATCTAATGAACGCGTTAAATGTCAAAGGCATAAGTCACTGATCAACATCAGGGTCAGGAAACCCCACGAGTGTCTTTTCCGTGGCCGCTCTACCTCGCCGCTCCCACATCATCCGTGCTCCTAATCACCAGACTCTCCTTGGGCACTTATTAATGACCCGCAATCAGAACATTTCGTTTCTCTTATTACCAGGCCCTTATCTGATGGGTGACTTCCTCAGCAATTTTCCTGCTATCTAATGAAACCCTCCCTTTCGCCGCTTCATCGCTCCACTCTCGGAAGACAAAGCTTTACACTAGCGCTTATCCCCCTCGCGAAAGAAAAGAGCCATTTCCGAGATAAGAACTAAGAGAGCCCGAGCAACACCCATGCGTCTGCGCTGCCTGAAGTTTTAACTATCAGGGTAACTAGAGAGTTTCATGCTATTTTTATCAGCGTAGAAAAAAAGGCATTGGTCAGGCTTCCACTTAAAGCCAATAAGCAAAAGGATATAGACAATAGCTGTAATAACAGTACATCATAGAAGATGAGCGAACATCAAATACACCTGGCTCTAGAAACTGAGACACAAACTTAATTAAACATAAACTTATTCACTTTTGGGACGGGATTATGATACTTTCCTTGTTGGCAATTCAAATATACGACACATGGCTAAATATCTAATCCAAACAGCTGTGTTTTCCAAGGACACAGCATAAATAAACAGCTATACGTTAGTGACAGTTTTAATGAGAAATCTGCTGTGGAACAAGGGTCAAAATCCATGGGATTCTGGGAAAAGTACTCTTTCGGGGGGAGGAAAAAAAAAAAGAAGTTATTCCTCCTGGACAAGGCATCCCCGAGCAGTGCTGCGGCAGAGTCATGCCTGTTTTGAAATGTCCCTGTACACTATAATTAGGACTGGAGATATTTTAAAAGGCTTCGGAGCCCGAGTTCACGGGGAAAAGCACCAGGGCCCGGGAAGAGAGGCAAACATGCTGAAGTTAGCTTGCGTGCTACGCCTTTTAAGGCACAAGACCATGAAGGAGCGGATCCCCTGGAGCCTGGGCAATCTTACATAGATAAATATTTTTTCAGCTTTGTGAAATAAGGGAACAGCCTGAGACAGCAAGGGGATTTAGGGATTGTTTAAATATAGACATTACAAATAGGACATGCTGTGGTTTTGCAGAGTGATGTCTTCATCGCTAGGCTTATTAAAGCAAAGCTGTTAAAGGGGAATTCCAAAGAATTATCAACATTTCTGCATAATTTTAGCAAAATGTGTTAACTTGTAATAGAAGTTCATGTCACAAGGTTTTGTTTCCCCAAGCAATTTTGGCCACTTCTATCAGTCCGTTCATCATGACATATTAACATAAAGCAAAGAGTACCTGGACTTTTCCAATTATACACAAATGATGAAAAACGGACAAAAATGGACAAGGTTTTTTTTTGTGATGCTGTTTTTTTTCCTTTGCGTCATTCGTGCGCACAGAACTGTGGGTAACCGAAGGTCTGGAAGGATATATCGGTTGCATCCTTGAAATCACTACGAATGTAGGCTGCATTTCTAGGCTGTATCACTTTGGAACGGGCCTTCACGAATGGTCCTTCACTTCTATGAGGTAGTGGCCAAGAAATGCAGCCTACCTTGGCAGCCTAGACTTTGGAACACAGCTAATTCGTACTTACAAAAGAACCGAAAAGCTGGTGACTCAAAACACACTTACAACAAAAGCCAACACTTGCATCTGCCCACTGTCTTCTATCATAAGTGAATTTTGAGTGTACATGTTTTCTGCTCTTTTATTAAGTGAAGGGAAACATCAAAATTATTGTCCACAGTAACTGACCACATGCTATAGATGCAGCAGACAGACATTAAGCTGAAAAACACTACAGTGTTCCTTTAATGTACTCCCTGACTGCCAGCTGTAAAACAGACTGATATTTGTTTAAAAGCCGACTCTTATTTTCATCGAGAGCAATATTCGAAATTTTCTGGATACATTTTATAACTCAGCTGAAAGGCAAACATAAATGTTATGATACATTATGTGCGCTCCGACCGCTTCCTCTACTTTTTAGTTTCATCATACACACGCCGCGGGCCTCTTGTGTAAAGCCACATTTGTCACTAAATCAAATTTTCTCCCGATACAGCCTGCCAAGTAGGAATTTCAGCAGAATGATAAACAAGATCAGTGCCGGCTATTACTCTGTTACAGCCAATCATGACATTTGGTGACAGGTAGTTAAGCCAGGCAACAAGCAATCAAATAAAACCCAGACTTTTGCCTGGTGCGCCATTAAACTCGACCTCATGAGAAACATCACATGAATTAAACAAAGGCAAAGGCCTGGTTTTGATATGCAGGACGTGGCATCGATCCAAGGGTATTAAAACAATACGAGCCGTAAGGAAGCACATTAAAAAAGCACCGAAACACACAGAACCGAGCATGCTGAAATAAATCTAAATAGCATAATTTAGCTGCCTTTTAAAACCTCCCTTGCCTAGCCTTCCACGTGCACTCAGACCAAGACCTTCATTTGAGTGGTATTTAATTAAAGTGAACGAGGGGGAACGATTGTATTTATTGTTAGAGGCTTGAGTTAATCAGCTTCATCTCATGGCTGTTGATCTTTTCCAGGCTCATTTTCCCTCTCCAATAGTTTATTTCTCTCTCCTGGCTGAGAGGAGGAAAAGGATCATTCGGGCCATCACAACAGTCACGTCTGTTTCTCCTCCAGCTCACGTTGAGGAAGAAAATTGTGTGTGTTTTTCAGTCTTGTAGGTGGTGAGAACTTCATTTTCGAGGACTCCTCTAATTGTATACACAGTCTAGGGCTTACTCAATAAACCTAAAATCATGACCCCTTTTAACCCTACAGCTACGTGCAAAAGTTTGGGCACTCTTGTTAAAAGACTTATTGTGATGTATTGATATTTTGTTGATTTTTGAAGTAAAAGAAGTGAACACAACGTATTCTAAGAATAACAATTTTTCTGCAAATTTAAATGCACTGTAAAATAATATTTTTAATATTATATAATGTCATTTACTTTACATTTGGTTAACTTAAATAACAGAAAAACATAAAATAATCTGCAAATAAACTAATAACTGTTTGGGATCACTGTCTGATTGTAGAAGCCAGTCTTGTTTTAGCTTTAGTTTCTTGACTGACAGCGGATGTGTGTCCAGAATTTGCTGATATTTAGATTTGGTATTGACTTTTGTGATGAGGTTGCAAGTAAGGTTTCCTTCTGAGGACTACAAGCTTATTATGTTTGTACAACTAACACTGCACAGTAAAACAAAACAGCACCACTCTTGTGTCAGCTAAACGCTCCGTCAGGTTCTTTGCTGTCATATGGGGGTTTTGCTTTGCATTTCTGGTCAGCATACGAGCAGTTCTGAGAATTTTCTTGGTGTTCCAGATCTTGGCTTGACATCCACTGTTCCTCTTAACTGCCAACAGTGGAAACTGAGAGCTGGAAGCACCTTGATATCTTTTTATATGTGCCGTGATCGAGTCACAGTGAGATAGTCGCTGGACTGAAAAAATGTTTGTGATGTTCATGGCATTTCATCTTAAAAAGTTTTTATAGAGTTTTTATTACAGCATTTAGCAGCTGTTAGAAAGATGTCCACCCAAGTTTGTCAATGTATTTGTTTCCCATGGGCTTGTTTTGGTTGTAAAAAATGTTATGTCATGTCATGCTAAAACAGTCTGTGGTTGTTTTTTTTTTCTTTCAGTGTCAGTCAAACGGCCACATTAAGCGACAAAAAGCACCAGATTCTCTGACGATAGACTGTATCTTGCAAGACTATATCTATATCTTACCTAATGTATCACTGGTGTTTCAGTCTCTCTTTATCTGCTTTAACTAATGAAAATCTACCCCCAGAGTAGTTGGTGAGTGTGCATGTCCATACTGGCCATGGTAAAATGCATTAGCATGTGGATTTGAAGCTGTGTGCTACTATGTTTTCTATTACTACATTGAAGAAATATTGATTTTCATTCTCACGTTTGTCTTTTTAAACAGTAGTTTGCAACACAAAGAAAATAAAAAATGTACACATTTTCAGTTTATGTTCTTTCACATCAATATAAATGTGACAATGGCTTTAAGAAATTGTTATTAAAGGAGAAGAGTTCATCAAAATGCAGAAACAGCTGCTTTGTTTGTCATTAAAAGGTTAATCTGAAAACTGAGGAAGTTCTGCACTAGTCCAACATGCAGTCTTGAGAAATAATGCATTTATAAATGCGAATAGCTTAAGACTTGACAAAGGAAACCAAACTATCAGTAACACCTCAGGGCTCTGTTCTAGGCCCTTATTCAAGGTCCATACTAAACGCGTGGATAATACAAAACACTCGCTCATCCTGCTGAAATCACCTGAAATGGCCTTACTGTTTGAATGAATCCAGATGGCTGAAGGCTTGGTTTTGGTGCAATGTCTCTGGCAACCACTAGCTCCACTCTGTCCCTCTGCTGCTGCAGGAAAGCAATGGCCTGCTGCTGGGTAACACTCTGGTCCAGAGGAATCCCGTTGATGGCAAGAATCTGGTCATTCTCTTGCAATCTGCCATCTCTAACCAGTGACAGAAACCACACCATTTAGTTTTGCTAATTTGTAAAAAGCTTTAAAGCAAACAAGATTTTTTTTAAAGAAAAAATGCATCCTATTTTTTGTATTTTTGCATTGCCCTACATCATTTGAACATAAGAGCTGTCCTTTACATTTCTTTCCAAAATTATTTAGAATAAAATCTCTTACATTAACTTCCATTAAAAGTTTAAAATGTTTTTGCCTTCACCAGTAAAAGTACAATTTTGGAGATTCATGTTTTTTGGACAGCAACGATTTTTAATAATAAATCATATTTTTTATAATAAAAATTTTAAAAAGCATCATTAAATTGCAGGGCAGCGCGGTGGCGCAGTGGGTAGCGCTGTTGCCTCACAGCGAGAATGGCCTGGGTTCGATTCCCAGCTGAGCGACCAGGGTCATTTCTGTGTGGAGTCTGCATGTTCTCCCCGTGTCTGCGTGGGTTTCCTCCGGGTACTCTGGTTTCCTCCCATGGTCCAAAAACATGCAGTTAAGCTAATTGGATATGCTAAATTGCCCCTAGGTGTGAATGTGTATGTCTGTCTGTCTGCCCTGCGATGGACTGGCGACCTGTCCAGGGTGTATCCTGCCTTCCGCCCAATGACAGCTGGGATAGGCTCCAGCACCTCACCGCGACCCAGAAGGATAAGCGGTTTAGATGATGGATGGATGGATGGATGGATGGATCATTAAATTGCAGTGAATACTTGGTTATCTTTGAAAGGCTATGCATGGTTAGTTATGGGCTGTCCAGTTAAACCTATTTGAATTGCTTGGACTTTTTTCACAGGGTTGTATTGATTGGGAAAAAAAATTAGCAGTTTTACTGAAAAAATACTTTCCAGAAAATGTACTGTTGTTGTCTTTTTATAGCCATTAAATCAATAAATAAATACAGATAAATGTAGGAAATATTGGGGAAGACTATACATTACCCCTGAATGAAAAACTCCACTTTATCCATAAAATTAACAGAAAATAAGCAGGTAAAGGGAGTGTTGATCCCACCTGGCTGCCACACTGCCTGGCTGCACTTGTTTGATGAAGACTCCATGAGCGCCCACTCCGTCAGGCCTCAGGCCCACCACACTGAAGCCCAGGCCTCCAGACAACGGCCTCAACAGATTCACCTGCTCAATTTTTCTTCCCTATAGAGAAAAGGCACAAGAACATTCACGGGATTAGGGCTGTATTATACAAACAAACTGCTAGTGTTGCAACTGTATTTCTTCATACTATGCCTGTAATATGTCCTGCAATGTATTATGAATGCACAATAACAATATGCCCCACAACATATTGACAAACTAATGTATTTGATAAAATAGATTCATCAAAACACCCACAGAAACTGTTCTGGAACTGTGATTGGTCAAAACACACATTGTCTTTCACAACATTAGTGAAAAGTTAGTAATATTAGTAATATTAGCAAAGACTAACATCCCAATAATAATTAACAAATAATATATTGTGCAGCTGTAAACAAGATATACTCTACTGAGTTTGGCTAATGTTGAAATGAATATGGTCACTCTGTTTTCTGACCCTCTAAATATTTATCTATTATTGTTTATATGAAATTTTATTTATACGGTTGTGAGAACAAGTATGTAAGTCTCTGGAATTATCTGGATTTCAGCATGAATAGCTTCTAAAATGTGACCCAATGATCTGAATCATAATAATAATAATAATAATAATAATAATGATAATAATACTAATAATAATAATAATAATAATAATAATAATAGTAAAAGACAATAGACAGCTTATTTAACAAACATGCATAATATTTAACAATGCCAATAATTTTATTGAGTAGTGTCAAAGTGATCTAAACAGCCATGGTCATTAATGAAAAGTATATATTTAGTGACTACTGGAACCTCATTGATTGGCAATTAACTCAACCCAAAATGTGCTTCTATAGCTGCTGATCAGTCCTGGGCAGTGGTCAAGAACTTCAGGTCATTCTGTTTAACAAAACTACTTTAGTTTGGGCATATATTTGCAATGTTTTGGCTGAATGGCCCAGTTTGGACCACGCCGCAGCATTTCAATGAGACTGAGGTCAGAACTCTGACTCGGCCATTCTTAAACACAAATTGTGAGTGCTAGACTGTTGCCGATTTATTCCTGTGTTTTGGATTGTTGTTATATTGCATCACCCAACCTCTTTGACTTTTAGACCACAGACAGCTGCTCCTGCATTCTACTGTACAATTTCCTCATGCATTTTGGATAAATTGACTAAAAACAATTGATTTACACCTTCTCAGTGAACTGGTAATGATTAGTTGGTAATTTGCATGACGATAATAATACATATTTTAAATTCTGCTACTCTTCTCTTCGTAAGAAACAGTCTGAAAAACACACCCATTATCTTCTTAATAACGGGACTTAATTTGGTAATAAAAGCTTCCAGTTTTATCTAGTATTGAGAAAAGTATTTTTGGAATGTTCTGAAGACTTTGCATTGTTTGTTATGGTTCAGTATAAGTCAATTTTTATTGTGTGGCCTGTTTATGAAACTCAGACTACTCAATTAATCATAGTAATCAGTACATAACTTAATTACAAATATAAACAACAGTGACAGTCCTACTTGGAATTCACGCCTAAGCCAGTAACATAACTGTTCTCCCGCCACCATGCTTCACAGTTGTGTACATAATTTATGGTATTGGCAACTGGTATCAGTATACAGTTTTTTTTTCTCCAAGAAAAATACTATGTACAACAAGAAGCACAGCTTTTGTCTCATCTGTCAAAAAAACACTGTTCCAGTATTTCTGTGCCAAAAGATCCGAATCATCTTCAGATAACTGGCAGGTAGGTTGGAAGCAATGTTTTTATGTAACCTGGACTGATGCACAATAAGGGATCAATCAGTATTGAACTCATGATTTCCCGATCACAAAGAAAACATCAGATTGTTGTGCCACTGGAAACCCAATATGAGACACCTACGGTTTAATATGACATACTGTAACTTGGCACAACTGACCTAATAAACGTAACGCAAAAATCATCCTGGTTAGCATGATAAAAATTTATGAGAAAAAAACAATACAAAAGTAAGCAGTAGATGTAATGCACAGAAACCAAAACTGCAAAGAATTCTGGGTAACTTCACCCTCAGTGCTACAAAATAGTATGTTATTTTTCTTTTTGGGGTACCAAACATGCCAAGCTGGAACATATGGTGGAACTAGACATAGTGCAAACCACTGACTGGTCAAACGCAAATGTGACTGAACCAACATGCAGTGTCACTTGAGTCAGATGACCACCGGATGACTCTCATATAAAATCAATTCCAGAGAAAAACAGAAATCAGAATTTGAAGCTCCTCCATTGTTGCTGCATTTTTGTTTGTGTGTACTGTTAATGCTACATTTCTTTCAGAAATGGTTACTGGAATTTTTAGACCTTTAAAATGGGTACTGGTTACATTATTTTATATCAGGAGGCCTTTAACAATAATCACAATATAAAGATTCATGCACACAATTATAAAGTGCAAGGAATTCCTACAGATCCTTAGTGGTCACCATTCTCCGATTCAGCATTCTCTGTCTCTTGTCACTCTCAGGAAGAGCAGCAACAGTGATGATTTTTTTTTCAAATGGAAACGATCTGACTATGAGTCTTCCGGAATCTGTAACACTTCTCCAGGTTTGTGTCCTTCAAAACGGTTGGAAGAGCAGGTAACCAAACAATATGTTTATTATCTGGAGAAGGTCAAATTCACACATGAACTGACTGAAAAAACATACGTTCATTCTTACTTACTTCCTTCATTAACCAAAGACAGGATCCCTTAACGCAGAAATTCAGACACAGCTAAAGAATTCACTCACTTTTTCTCTCAAATGAATATATTCATGTGTGTGTGTATATGTGAGTATATGTCAAGAAGCTAAAAGATGTTATAACAAATAATTCAAAACTAACAAATCTATTGATAAGAAATTCTATTAACCAAACCTGTTACGAGAAGCAGAGCAGTAGATACGAGTAGCAAAAATATTTAACACAAAAAGAGCAAAACAACCTTCACAAGGTCGCTGATAAGGCATCAATGGCTTTATCACACAACCACACAAAGCAGCGTGTGAACGAGCGGTGTGTGCCTAACCTTTGCGGCAGCGTGGAGCCATCTCTGGAGCTGCTCTGAGGACGCTGAGGACATGCTTGTGCCATTGGACACTACAGAGCCCACACTGCTTCCTGGCCGACTCGCACTCACGATCAACTGGCCTTTTCTGGAGAAACTGAACTCGCTGCACGCGTCTGGAGGCATGCTGTTGAGCTGGAGGATGGAAAAGGAGACAGAATGAGTTCTTGTGTATGATTTAATAATAATATATGAGAGGAATAAAAGGACTGCACCATATTGAGAGTCTATAAATATCTATAACTATCAGATACACTTCGTGTCAGAACTTAATTAAACCTAATTTTGATGGTTGCTGATTCTGCAATACGATGCATTACACCAGGCATTCAGAATGCACTTTACATGTCAAACGTAAGTGTTTGCTACTGTACAACATCAAGCAATAAGGCGAGAGCAACCGAGCCCTACAGCTAGAGGCAGAAAAAAAGCGAAAAGCATGGGGGGAAAAATCAATACATTCCTCCGCAGTTCTCCCTACTCCCAAACAGGTAATGTATTAATGACCTTTAGACTCACATTGTGGAAACTTATCAGTCTTCTGCTTATTTAGCCCAGGCTGACGGAGCAGGTTCCCGGCCATTTCATCAATATATTTCAGACAAGGCAGTTACTCAAACCAAGACAGTAGATATTAAGGCTTGATAGATCCACAAAAAAGAAATTCGCAGCCACCCGCCTCTGTATACACAATAGGTTTTCACCTGACGCATTCATAGGCGCTCGCCTGACCTTCCCAGCACTTAGAATATGAAGGCTAGCTTCCGTTATTGCCATTACCTTAATTTGGCATGTGGATTGTTTATTGTGGAGAGGTTTCTTGTGTCAATAAAAACTCCGCCTGAATACAAATAGCAACAAGGGGGTTTCAATGTCTCAGCTCGGCGGTACGGAAGCGTGACGCATGCCTATAGTCAGAAACCGCTGCCGTGGATACATAAACTATTCACCTTTATCTATAAGGAGATTAAAAATAGCAGTAACCAAATTAATAACTCTATATAACTTGATAATTACTAGGGCTGTAAAATTCTGACCTCACTATGATTCATTATGATTCTATAAGAAGTGATTCATTCTATCAAAATGAATCATTTCACCATGATTCAGTTCAAACATTGTAGTGCAATTCAGACATGTTTAAGAATACACTGAATACGCAAATGTGACCAGAGAAATGGTCAATCACTATTACTATTCGAATTATAGAGAACACAAATACTACAAGCTTTTGGGAAGCACAGATGTTGACATATGATAAGTTTGGTCACAGTCCAAGTCCAGTGTTTGTTAGCAAAGTTAGCCTAGCAACTCCAGTTGTAAACTAAAGAGGCACACATCAGATATCAAACACGTCTTGGCTGATTTACTGAATCTGGGGGAAGTGACGCCACCATTTTACTTGCATTTTTGACAAACTGTTAAAAGGTTTTGGAACAACAGCAAAAATCTGTATCAGGCAATATACACAATATACACAGTTAATGTATGATGAACATGGCTGAAACAACCTCACCAAACAAGCCAAGTAAGCGTTCAGACAACGGCTTTTCAATCTCTTAGAAATGTATTCTTTTCATTGTTGTCTATGCAGCAAAGCACACCGCGTCCGAAAAGCGCTCCTGTAGACTGCACAATGTGCTTCGTGTTTTTAAACTGCCTTCTTACTAGTCGCTCATCCAACACAGAGGAAAAGCTAGAATTAGCTGTATCTAATTTTCGAACACCTGGAGCTCAACAAAACTCATCACTAACACTATTTTATAACATTACTTTTTCTACCGAAATCACAAATTGAAAGAGTGCAATTCTCAAATTGCAAGAGCTGCAATGTTTATAATACATTATCAACAGTGCTGTCTTAAGTTTTAAATGGAAAACTATTAACACAGAGTTTTAAGCTGCCTGGAAATTAAGTTATAGAAAATTACTGCATTTAAGTCGTAATACTGGTCAGAAAAATCGCCATTAGACATTTTCCCCCAAATCACTCAACCCTAACTCACACACACGCCCCCACCACAAAGTTACCATTTTGGAGATATGTTGTTTTGTTCTGACAGCAACAATATACATACAATATATATATATATATATATATACACACATACATACATACAACATATATATATATATATATATATATATATATATATACGCACACACACACACACACACATATAAATATATATCTATTTATTTATTTTTCAAGACGTGGTCCACCTCACATTAAAAAGGGGTCATCCAGACACCCCCTAAAACAGCTCTGACATGATTAGGTGGACCCTGTAGTCTGTTGTTACGCTAAGCAAAGTCTGACCTGGTCTTGGAGCTGTTTGACAGAGTGCTGCAGGGTTAATATATGGCCGAGCAGCGGGCTCTGCAGAGCTTCCTTCAGCGCTCCCAGACGCTCACTATGAGTCCATTCCTCACGCTGCACCAGCTTAGACTGCAGTCTCTCCAAGGCCTGAAGCACCTGCTGCCGCTCTGCTGCAGACACTGAAACCACAAACATCCAAAAAAAATTTACCTTAAATACAAATAAAACAGAAAATTAGAATTAGAAATAAAACTCAGAATTAAAAATGCAATCCTGAAAACGTGCACTGTTACACCCCTAATAAAAACAATAACAAAGCCTGGCTAAAAACACAGAACAAAGCACAATCCTGTAATACCTGTTGGCACATTTTCATACATTGCTCTTCCCTGGAGAGCCTGATGTAGTAGGATCTGTCAGGACAAACCTAGAAAGAACAAACAATACATATTTAATGTTCACAGTCTACATATTTCAGAGGGGCATGTTATGTAATATTCTGTACTGCAGTACTGCACCACTCAGAATTCAAGATTTTGTGTTCTTTTGTGTTCTAACTACAATAACCAGCATGCAGTACACAAATGTCTCAAACCGCTGGGAAAAGCCCTTACAACCATGAAGAAATCCACTCATGTACCACTAATGCAGAGGCTAATAAAAACAGACATAATATCCGGCTTCTTAACTGTAACAGTAGCGATCTGGCTTCTTTCTGCTTTAGCCAGCCAACAGGAAAAACTAAAACAACTGCTCTCAAGCACTCGCCCCAAACTGCTTGTAGCTTTCAAATGTTCCTCACACCTTTGAGATACATCAGAAGGGGGTGTTCCTAGTCTCTGAACCAGAAAATTGAAGTGTAGTGACTACTGTGGTTGGAGGGCCCCTTTAAAGCATAGATTTACCTCAACACCAGCTATGACAACTGGATAAAACACAAAAAACAGCAACAGTAGACTCACCTAAAAGGCAATTCCACCAATTTTTTTAAATTTCTGAATAATTCTGTCCTTGAGATGTAAACAGAGTCATTCGGAGTGGTTTGACTCGAAACCTGAAATAAGAATGGTTTGTTGTGGAGAGACTTATAGACTCAGATTTCTTTATAGCGCTGGTGGTAGAAACCACCCAATGTTTACAACACGGACAGAGCCATTTCATTTACTAACCAAAACCACCAGTGAACCCACACGTCCTCTAAGTTTTATATGCAGTGTTAATGATGGCAAAATAGTTAAAAATATGAAAAACGATTTCATGTAACCACTTTCTGTGAGGGACGTCTGGTTCCTATCACCACCACTGTAAACAGTTCCGACTCGGTAAGTTTCTCTAGAACGGAGCATTTCACACCAAACCACTCTGAAGGGCTTTGTTTACATCTCAACCAATTAATTAAGTAGGATTTTTTGAAGAATTGGTGGCGTTCCCCTTTAAGTTAGCAGTTTCGGTGAGCTGGCTAACACATTAGCCACAGGTGCATCTAAACAAAACAAGAGAATTAAAACTTCGACTACTTACAGAGACGCTAAACGTTTAGCCGGATGTTTAGAGTTTAAAACAAGCTCTAGTTTCCTGTGAATAATGATGGCTGGTCTCGTACAACGCTGAGCGTTTCTGAGCTGAGATTTTGCTGTTTTTCATCAGCCTGAACTTAACTTACCTGTCTGACGGAAGTGAGATGGGCTTTCTCGCCTCACCTTAAAACAGGAAGCATGTCAAAGTACGAGGCTGAAGTTGGCTTCCTAGTCGAATTTCGCCGTTCCACCTTAAATGGTGCAGCAGTTACAGTCTGGCGCCAGAATGTAACTGCTGTAACCTACCATTTAAGGTGGAACGGGAAAATTCAACTAAGAAGCTGGCAAATGGGAACCAACTTCAGCTTCGCTGTCAAAGTTAGCTACCTTGCCGAAACAAACATCATTTCAGCAGGATAATACGCAGTTGTTTCAAAGTAAACGGACATATAGAGACACTAAAACCTCGTTATTGTCACGAAGTCTTCTTAGTTTGGTTGTAAGGTGAATATTTTTCACTACGAATACAGCACATAACAACAACAGGTGCATGAGTCACTGTGAAACTAAACTTGAGGCGCTGTTAGTTACCAACCGTGGATGTGACCTGAAACAGGTTTTAACCACCAATAACTGCAGTCTTCATAAAAATAACCGAGCTGAAAATGTACACTAACTATATGAACGCACAAACCTGCAGTTTCTTTCTCGCGTCAAGGCTTACAACAGCTGATTCAACACGTTAGTTGCTGGCTAACTCCACTAGCTCTGCTAAACGGCTGGAATTGGTGAAGTTTGCCTGATAACATCAAACCAAGTTCATTAAAAGTTTGTTTTAATCTAAACTTTTTTTTCAATCTAATAGCGTGACTCCGCTTACTTCGCGCTGCGGACAAAATAAAATGTCTAAAGTACAAAAATACTAGACGTTTAGAGGTTTAAACAAACACATTTTTTCCTGCGGCGAATAAATATTGTCTCTTTAAAGAAATCTGTTCAGGTCACATGACAGCCGCTTCCAACATGGCCTCTCCTGCCTGGAGCGGACTGTCTTGTTTACGGTCAAAACAACGAGCGATTATTCTCTTCTTTTTTTGCTGGACTTTAACGTACAGTTTTGCAGATGAAGCTGACAGCTGCGAAAATCTGCGTCCGGGACAATATCCTTTCTCCCCGCTTCGTTAAGCTGAGGTTTGTCTATTCATTCGCCTGTGTGGACAGCTATCCGGCTTAGCTTAGCATAGCTTAGCCTAGCCAAGCCTAGCCTAGCCTAGCCTAGCTAGCTGTAGTTATCAAAACAGACAGGTTAACTGGTGATTTGCAATGAAATAAAGTCAGAAAATTGATGCGTTAAATATGCTGATGAATTAGAAATAGGATGGTGTGTGTGTGTTATGATTATTGTTCATTTTTGTCTGCCAAATCAGGTAAGCTAGTTATCTTACCAGGCAAACAGCTATCTTGAATAAATTAAACAGTAAATGTAACAGTAAATTTCGTAAAATACGCGCTGTAACAGTAGCTAAATGCAATAAACACAAGCTCTATAACAGTAAATCTGTAATCACAAGCTTTGTAACAGTAAATGTCATAAGAATAAGCTCTGTAACAGTAAATACAGTAATCACAAGCTCTGTAACAGTAAATACAGTAAACACAAGCTCTGTTATAGTAAATGCATTGCTGCTGTTGACAACTTTTAAGCTGATCATAAACATAATCGTAGTATAGTCCTCTAACTATCCCCACACACTGTGGTTGGTTTTGTAAGCTGCCTAACTGATCCGTTGCATGCAATAATAATAATAATGATAACGATAATTAGAGCTGGGTGATATGGCAAAATGTAATATCATAATACTTCTGAAAGATTTTATGATACACGATGAGTCACTATATTTATTTTTTCTGACATCTGATAAGTTAGAACAAACACAGTAGTGCTACATTTGAACACTACTATCAAAAACTCTGAATCCAATTACTTACATTCAACATTTCACTCACATCTCTCTTTTTAATCAAACATGCAGTTGGAAAGTGGTTTTTAAGTACTGACGATTACCATGGTTTGATCAGAAAAGCATATTGTGACATTGTACTAATAATAAGGACATATATTGTCATTTTGCCCAGCATTATTATTATTATTATTATTATTATTATTATTATTAATAAAGTGAGTTCCACCTGTTTCTCTGCATAATTGAGTTGTTAAGATTATTCAGGGTTGTGAAGTTATTCAGAGTGGGTTGATATGAAGTCCTCTGTTGTAGAAAAACTTGCACAGAATTGTTCAGTGCTGGTAATAGGAACCAAATGTCTGAAGAGTTGAATGCTTTCGAAAAGCTATATTACATATTATGAATTTGCTGCCTGATGCCTGACTAATTGTTTTATGATAGTTTTGAGACCAAATTTGTGGCGTGTAAGTCCACTGGTGGTTTTGGATAGTAAATAAAATGGCTATATTTGTGTTGTGGACATTGCGACCCCTGGTTCCTATCACCACTACTGTAAAGAAGTCCTGTAGTACGGAGTCAATAGGTTTCTCTACAATGAACCAGCTCACATCAAGACACTCTTGAGTGATTTTGTTCACATCAACAATAAATCGTGCGGAAATCTTGAAAACTTGGTGGAATTACCTTTTACCAACAATAATAGTAACAAACTTTATTTATTCGCCAGCTTTCATACTGCAGCTGAAAGTGCTTTACAGTGCAATATTAAGGACCAGCAGGTATTCAAAAATACAATAAATACCCAAGAATGAAAAAAAGGCATCAAGATATCAGTGGGTCATAGATGAAATGTGTCTGGAACATATGAAACAAAAACAGCTTCTGCTTCTCCTTGACAATGTCCAAGTATCTGTGCAACAGCCCTAAAATACATCCTGCAACTCAAGAGCCAGAGAACTGCGTGGATCTGGTAGCATGGGGTGAGTATGCAAGATAACTTTCATTACTAATACATGTGGAATTATATTCTTTTTCATTATTTAGAGAGTCTGGAATGGCATGTCTTTAGATCTCTCTTTGCAATAGTGAATTTGTCTTTAATTCTTTCAGTGGAGTGTCATCCTGCGCCCAATGTCACCTGCTTGCTATCAAATGGGACCAAGTACAAATTCAGTGGTGAGGAAGTCGGATTTAATAAAAGTATCCCATGTCGAAACGTGTAAGTTCCCTCACTTTACCAGATATTACACCACCATAATGTATATTGCGACTGACTTTATTTCTGTGCATCTCATGTTGATAATGTTTTTTTTCTGTTTAATCAGGTCTACTTATTCATACAAAGTGGCTGTTGCTTTGTCACTTTTCCTGGGATGGCTGGGTGCAGATCGGTTCTATTTGGGCTATCCAGCTCTAGGTAAGCCTTTGACCCTGAGAGCCATGTAGTGGCTAGCTGCTGATTGATTCAGGGAGGTGAATAAATTAAATGTTCCTGCTTTTTAACAGCATCCTTTTTGCTCCTTTATGATTTCATTATGTCCAAAAGCAGATACAACAATGTAAAATGAACTTTCATTCATGGTCAAGGCCAGGTCACTCCACCTGTTATGCCAATGGCATGTTTATTATGACATTTAAGGCTACACATATAGCATCTCAGCTTTTTATTAGGGACGTACTTCTACTGGAGGCAGCGTTCACACTCTTTAATAAAAGTATTAAGAACAGAGGCATGTACAACTAAGTACAGAGTCAGGTACAATGTCTTACATTCTCATTGGCTTCAAATCCTGGTCATTGACTTTGTCACTTATGAAAATTAATTTTCCTCATCACTGTTTAACATTTAGGATTCACAGCTTGCATTATTTTTCTACGTTTTATCGCTAAATGCTGTTGTTGTTTACTTCACTGCAGTCATTTTATGTTTCTGTTATATAGTTTCTTACTGTATATAAAGGGTCTTTAGCTTTGTGTTGATTTCTAGCTGAGGTGCGTAGACTAGTCTAAACCCAAGGAAAAGTATTGTTACTTCAGAGATAAACAAGGAAACAAAAGATGCTCCAGGCCGACAAACGTATCCAAGCCAAGCTTGTCGACTTGTAATGAGTGAAAAAAGTAAGATGTAAAAATAAGATGGGCGTATTTTAGTGAAAGTATAATCTGATATGATCCAGATATGAAACACATGTTAATGCAAGGTGTAAACAGGCTCTCTGATGCACTCTTTGAGGTAAAAAAGTCAGAGAAGTGACCGATCATAATGGATTTAATAAACTAGCCTAAACCCAAGGAAAAGTATTGTTACTTCAGAGATAAACAAGGAAACAAAAGATGCTCCAGGCCGACAAACGTATCCAAGCCAAGCTTGTCTACTTGTAATGAGTGAAAAAAGTAAGATGTAAAAATAAGATGGGTGTATTTTAGTGAAAGTATAATCTGATATGATCCAGATATGAAACACATGTTAATGCAAGGTGTAAACAGGCTCTCTGATGCACTCTTTGAGATAAATAAGTCAGAGAAGTGACTGATCTTAAAGCAGTACAGGTGCTGTCACCAATGTAGCATATAGAAATTAAAGTAGCTAAATGTTAATGACTAAATTGGAACTGAGTAAAGATTTCTTTCCTCACATACGTACTTACATAATTAATTAAACGTGCTCGGGAAAGTACAAATCCATCAAAATTGTACTTGAGTACATGTAACTAATAACAACTCGGTCTGCTGAAGCCAGGCGTGATCTTGTAACAAGAATACGCATCTGGGGTCAACTTGTTAAACTTTTGGGGTAAAATCGTCCTCTAATGTGTGCTTTTTTAACGTCTTGAGTACAATTGATAAAAAAAGCACACCAAGCTAGCTAGCGAAATGCTATTGTTAGTTAATGGAATAGTTTGTCCCTTGGAGGAGTGACTGTTCATTTTTATTGCATGGCTTGTGTTCTCTGCACACATGTACAGGCTTAATTGGAGTTTTTCATCCATATTAACTTACATAGCGTGTTCATGAGATAACAAGACTGTTGGGTAATGTTGACAAGCGCACCATTCCCCCTTATTTTGAGCTTAACCTTCATTCTAATAAATGCACTTTCCCACCCACATTTAGCCCAAAATGTTTTGGCTGGATTGCGGTGAAATCCGTCCCCAGATTCCTCTAATCTGTGCTTTTTTTTACCATCTGGAGTACAATCAAAGAAAAAGCACACCAAGCTAAGCTAGCTAGCGAAATGCTATTGTTAACTCATGGAGTAGTTTTTCTCTTGTAAGAGGGACTGTTTATTTTTATCGCATGTAATGTGTTCTCTGCACACATCTATATGCTTAATTAGAGTTTTGGGGCAGCTTTTCAGCCATATTAACTCACACTATATCCGTGAGCTGATGGATAATGTTGACAAGTGCACCATTGCCCCTTATTTTGAGCTTAACCTTCGCACTAAATTGGCCAAGAAACTTCATATTCAGTTTGTTCCCATTCTAATAAAGGCACTTTCCCACCCACATTTAGCCCACAGTTTCCTATAAACTTTTGTGTTTTGGCTGGATTGCGGTGAAATCCATCCCCAAATTTCTCTGTGCTTTTTTACCGTCTGGAGTACAATCGATAAAAACCACACCAAGCTAAGCTAGTTAGCGAAACGCTATTGTTAGCTAATGGAGTGGTTTTTCCCTTATAAGAGGTACTGTTTATCTGTATTGCATGTAATGTGTTCTCTGCACACGTCTATATGCTTAATTGGAGTTTTGGGGCAGCTTTTCAGCCATATTAACTCACGATATGTTCATAAGTTAACAACAGACTGTTGGGTAATGTTGACAAGTGCGCAATTGCCCCTTATTTTGAGCTTCACCTTCACAAAGCAGTGAACTGGCTGAGAAACTTCATACTCAGTTTGTTCTCATTCTAATAAATCCACTTTCCCACCCACATTTAGGCCAAAATTTCTTATAGACTTTTGTGTTTAAATGTCATTTGGTGCAGGCCTGGGCATCCAACCGAAAATGTTAGAATCCTGTTATGAAATCCTGTGGTTCCATATTTCACATACTTTGTTTTCCAAACAAATAATTCAATCAGACATTCTTCAAACTGCTTCCTGGTTTACGCTCTTTGTAACTGTTAACAAAATGTAGCAGCAAGTGTCCCCTAATTGTTCCCTAATTTGCTTGTATGTTTCTTCTCCGGATCCAAATCCGGCCTAGTGAATAGAGCCAAGGGGAGCTGGCATTTGCCTTTAGAAAATAAACACTACTAACATTATCTCACCTGGAGGAGCTCACACTTTATATATAAACTCCAGGGTCAGTCAGGATGCGGAGTGAGGTGCTCCTTTTCTCCTTCTCTCCATGTTTTGAGAGCGTTCTTATCAATTAAGCACCTGCAGAAGTACAAAAGGCCCAAGTGGCTGAAGGCCTCCCTTCTTCTTGGGCTTTTTTGTGAGCGGAGCAGGTGAAAGGCGAGCCCACAAGGAGCCTGAGCCAGTTCTGCAGGCGTTCTCTCAGAGGTTTGCACCTGGTCCGGTCTGACCTCCAAGCTACTGTGCCATTCAGCTGTAAAGACCCAGCCTGGCGGAGCTGAACAGGCTCTCTGCAGGCAGCTCTTTTGATATCAGTGCTGGAATCAACACGCTTAAGCCCTTCAATGACCAATTATCAGTGCTATTACTGACGATTAACAGTAATTATGTTTAAATTACTAGATGGGGGAGGATTAATTAATTGCGATTCTTTCGGACCCCTAATGGCTTGAACCGACCAATTATTCAGTGTGTATCCAAATGGATGTGGTTGGAAATGGAAAATGTTGACTCCTTTTCATTCACGGAAACAAGTTAACACATCATTATTGCAAACAATGACACATTTTCTGAACGTCACACTGTTTTGGCTCATGTTCTCGTTTTGAAGACATTTTGCACACAATGGGCCCGCGGGCCACAAGCTGTTCAGCCTCTATTGTGTCGAGCGGCTGCTTTTCATTCTCGCTTCCCCTATTTCACCTGCAAAGGGCTGTGTAATTTCTTTGACCCAAAAAACCTGCCGCTGACTGGCTTCAAAGCCTCAGCAGCGGACTGCCACAATACAAGCAATCAAACAAACCCCCCTCTTAGACCAGTATTACCTGTGAGCACAGTTCTGTATGGCACACATTGGCCCTCTTAATAGTTTATGTGGACCTCATACGGCCCCATAGAGAATAGAGAGGTTTGGCAGTGGGCGATGTTGGCAGTTTGCAGTTAAACAGTGCTGTGGTGTGTGTGGAGATAAGTGATAAGTGCTGTGTGTCTTTTCAGGACTGCTTAAGTTCTGCACGGTGGGGTTCTGTGGAATCGGAAGCCTGGTGGACTTCATATTGATATCCATGCAGGTAAGTAAGATTGATCCAGGATTTTTTTGACTTATTTGTTTGTTTGTGAAGTTCTTCATGCTACATGTTCAGGCTAGGGCTGCACAATGTACAGTCGTATGAAAAAGATTGGATGTCCCCGAATCACGTTTTGTTTATTTTCGAAGTGAAAATAAGTTAACACCTCTGCAGAGAACACACTTGTGCACATTACATATTGGGAAAAATTCAATGTAAAGTGTGGGCTGTGCAAAAGTTATGGCACCTTTTATATGTTATTTGTTTTTTTCCCAGTATGTTAAAAAAGAAAAAACAAGCCTGTCCAATAGGAGAAGAGCTAAGGAACTATGTGCCTCATTATGCTAGGCGCCGACAGTATGTGACTGAAGTGCCCTTGAGCAAGGCACCTAACCCCCAACTGCTCCCCGGGCGCCGTGGATAAGGCTGCCCACCGCTCCGGGCAAGTGTGCTCACTGCCCCCTAGTGTGTGTTCACTAGTGTGCATGTATGTGGGTGTTTCACTGCGCGGGTGGGTTAAATGCGGAGGTCTAATTCCTCTTAGCAAACACAGTTGGCTAAAGGTTCTGAATTCTAATTCTAATCCTAACTCATTCACCAACTTTTACCTCTTAAGAAGAAATTTCTTCCTAAAACCCACTAGAACAGAATCTACACACACTCAAGAGCACAAAGCTGTGAACAATTCTGTGGTTTAGGAACATGTCATTAATCTCATGAAGACTTTTTCTTGGGAAGATATTGATGAATGAGGCCCATTCCTATTGGACAAGCCTCAACTTTTGGCTTAAGTTATCCAGCTTACTGCGAAATCCTGCTTTGAGTTATTCAAGCGTTTCCATACAGCTGTATGTTTATGGTTATTAGGACTTCACCGATCATGGTATTTTATGGCTGATTGCAATTTCTTTACACCCAGGTTGGTCAATGGCTGATTTTAGGCCAGTTTTTATTTATTTTAACACAAAGCTCACACTGCATGATATAAAAAAGCATGTGATTCATACCAGCACATTAATAGTGCAATCTGTTAGCCAGTGTTGCCATATAAATATCAGTATTTGCTTTTTAATGGGCCAAACTGACTTTCTAAATTCTAAAAAACAATCATTTCCTTATTTAAATAACATGAAACAAACAAAGTGCTATATCAAAGAAAGAGGCAACAGGCTATTTAACACAAATGAGTTGTGTATAATTATGCTATGACATTTTAGTATTGGTAAAACAGCTACATGTAATACAGCACAAGTGAGTTACCTGTCTAAAGTTATTTATGTCATAAAATTGGGAAAGAAATGCACCTCAGCAGACCAGGCTTCTAACTAGCTATACCGAACAAAAATATAAATGGAACACTTTACTGAAAAATTTTACTAAAACCCGGCAAAAACGGAGTGGGTCCTGAAACAGAATTCCTACCATTTGCACACATTTTGAGGAAAAAAAATCAGGCTACTGTAAAATGGAAGCAAAACCCAAATTATTGCATTTACACTATAACTAATTTGCTCATTCACCCACTTACATACATACATACATTTAGAAGCCTGACGATTCTCCACAAGGGGGTGCATTTAGCGCTCCAGAGGTTTTTTGGTGCTTCATAAGAGCAGTGCATCCTTCTTTGTTGTTATCATGTTTTGGGTCTAATACTAACTAATGCAGAAGAACACAATATGCCAATGAGCTCTCCCTTCTTAACAATGACATAGTGATTTTTATGTGTTTTTTTTATGTGACCACCCAACAAATCATTTTGGCAAAATATAAAGCAGGCCAGTCTTTAACCATGTCATGTCAAGGATTCACCAGTGTGTTTCTAATATGTTGTAAATGACATTATTATCAAAATTGAAATGCAATCACAATAAGAAGATAATTGCAGTGGACTTTTGCATGTCACACAGTTCAGTCCATTATAATTAAAAGCATCATTGTAATAATGACTCATCAACTGCTTTCAAGTTACAGTACAATGTATTTACATAATAATTAGAATGTCATGATGTTTTAGCACCAAACTACATTTAAATAGACCACTCTGTCAACCTACTCAGTCTAAATAGATCACTCCAGCAGCTCTACAGTAGAAAAATTAAGTCATGTTAGTAAATAAACACCGTCAATGTGTTTGTCTGTGGTAATTATAGCTACTTACATATCGCTGCTGTCGGGGAAAAACACTTGTATCTCCATTTTTATCGTTTTTCAGTTTTTGGCGTAATGTGAAAATGCCTGTTGGCCTTTACATTGTATGTACATTTCTTGATGAATGGACCAAATTAAATGGCGCAAAATTAACTTGAAAAAATGTTTGGTTCCATTGACTTACATTAAGAGTAAAGTATGTTTTTCCTTTTCTTGTAAAGTTATCTTCCTGGAGATATGAGGTTTTGTTCCAAAATCAGCGCAAAATCAATGTAATACATCTTATTATTATTGGTACATATAGATACTTATAATCGTCACTGTCTATATAATTTTCTGCATCAACACCAACCCTTTACATTGTGTGAAAATGTCATGATTAATGAACTAATAGAAATGCTCCAAAATGGCTTGGAATTAAATCTCTTTACATTAACTTATTAAAGGTAAAGAGAGTTTTGACCCTCCCCTGTAAAGTTGCCACTGTGGAGATACTAGTTTTCTTTGGATAGTGATGATGTAGGTGTTACCTATGGGACACGTATTTCCTGACATCGTGTGAAAGGTAGGACCTGTGTCTCTGTGCTGTCTCCTCTAGTGGCTCTGATTCTGTAAAATAGGCTAATGAGTGCGTGGTTTGTTTTCTCCCCCGTCCCTCCCTGCTCCCACTGGGCCACCCCTAGCCCCCATTAAGGGCCCCCAATCCCGTTTGGAGGGGAAAAAGCTGTTCCATTTGTTATCTCATTAGGCCTAACCTCACCCACTCCATTCTCATTAGGCTCTCTGGGCCTGAATGAAGCTATACATGACAGAAGCATGGAATACTACAGCAAGATCTGTACTGATTCAAAACATGTCGTCACACTGACTATTACTGAAAATACATGCAAGTTAGTGATTTGATTGGCTGTTTCTAAAACACCAGTGGCCTGAATAGTTAATCATTAATCATTTCATATGTAGATGAACTGTAGATGTAGAGAACATATATGGATGAACAGACAAAAAAAATATGAATTCTGTCTGACCGATGAGGTTCAGGGATGCAGTGCTGCACCACAGGATATTACAAAACACAACAAACAACATATTAAATGCTAGTTTTAGACTGTAATTGAACTTTATTGAGCATAAAGCTGAATGTTGTAAAATGTATTAACTCAAAGTTTGAGCTGCATTTTAAATGTATGAAAGGTACTTTATAAATAACATTATAAAGTGTTTACTGATGCCTCATCCTCCGATTACTGAGTACTGCTACCGATACTGACCATGTCTAACCTACACTACTCAATAGGTGCCTATAACTTCTGATTTGTATGCCATTCCACATTTTAAATATTGTATTTGTTAAAAGCAGTGGTCTGTTACATTTACTGGTTGGATAAGTTCATATTTAAATAGTTTCAGAGCTACAATAAGCTGCTGTGCTGTTTAGCATGATTTATTTTTAAATGCCTTATTAAATCCCCCCAGTGTGTTGCTTGCTTTAATTAAGCTCCATGTACTTAAACGCAGACAAGCGGCACTCGTGCTTCGTGTTCTCTATTACTGATTGTATTTAGGTGTTAATATCTGGGCCAACGGTGATTCAGTATCAGTACAACACTAAATAAAGCGTTAGAAGTAGTAGTAAATCGACTTTTTATAAAACAAATAGTTCTGGTCCTAAAATCTGATTGGCTGAGCTGCGTTCAAAGCCGTTATAAAATCCACCATATACGCACACGTATGACCACCTCACAGTGACTGATCTCTGTATTACTGCGCCACTGCACGAAAAATCCTTGTGCTTTTAATGGAATAATCTTTGACTCTTGTGCCCTCTACAGCCAAACAGTGCATCTTTTATTTAGTATGGAGGTGTCTGAATCCCAAATTACTACTTCTTAGCTGTGTTTTGCACTGTTGGGCTGCAGGATCCAGTGTTTAAGTTCCTACGTAGTGCACTATGTAGGGAGCAGGGAGCCATTTGAGATTCAGCCCCAGCGTGGGAAGAGGGGTGCCGCTGGATTGGTGATAAATAAGACTTCAGGTGGTAATTTGGTGACCAAAAAGTACTTATAAAGAGAACGTTTTTGCATTGAACAGTGCTGTTATCATATGTTCATTGTTATACGACAGAAAGTTAAAAGAATCGTGAAATGACCGCAGTATACAGCGATGGGCGACCGAACGTTCTTCTCCTCATTCACCGGTCCATGGTTGCTTGGCAACGATGTCATATGCTAAAGGAACTACATTTCTTGGTGGAATTCTTGTTTATGTCGATTATTATTAATAATAAGTTAAATTATTTTCTGAAAAAGTGGGTATTTTATTATAGTTTATGTTGGCTCCCGTTTCATGAAAGCAATAAGCCACTTGAGACCATGCATTACTGTGATTTTATCACGGGGAAGGGATTTTTAAGAGCACCCTTCCCATGATTAAATCTCAGTAACGCACAGCCTCTCATGGCTTATTGCCTTATTATGTTAAATGTAATGTGTCCCCAGACTTTTGACAGCGTACTGCTTCATATCTTGCCATATTCTCCACACAGTCATGAAGCTTTGTGCTGCTGTAGCAAAACGTATATTGCTCTGTTCCTTCGGACGCTACACCTGCTCATGAGCTAAATTACACTGTCAACAAAGACTCTCCACTGAGAATCCTTCTTAGTCTGCAGCCAGGCTTTTGATCGGGGTCTGTTTAAATCCTGAAATTATATTCATTTGGGGATAAACTCCTTGTCTTAAAGCTGTAAGCTATTGACTCCCCTTCAGCTTCAATATACACTCATTTGTCTCATCCTTCTTTACTTTACTTTTACTCCTCTGACGTGCCCACGCTCTGCTACCGGCAGGAATAAAGCAAGCTTTTTTCTTAATTTTATTTTTTTTTAAATGGCCCCAGCACTTTGATTAACAGTGGCTCTCCGAGCGTTTATTGTTCTCTTAATGTCTTATTGAAGGCCCTGAGAGAGCAATGCTTTTAAGAAGTGCGGCTGGCACGGCGGGCTGCCGCACACTTACACTCTCAATTAGCTGTACGCTGTCCGGGCGCTCTGTTTTTAAAGCGTGACACTTTTGATAAAGACTATCGCTTCCCCTGAGAGCCCATTTACGCACACCGCTCTGCCTTACAGCGCCATATTTTACCTCCAACTACCTCCGCTAAGAGCATGCTGGCCTCTCGAAAGTAATGAATAAACACCTACAACATGCTGTTATTATTTATATTCATCGATTCTGTCTAATGACTCGGGCACCATCCGGAGTTTTGCAGCTAACACTTGCAAATAAATGACAATATGTAACTTTTCAATTTGCTTTTTGATGGGACAGGGTTATGTGTGTGTGTGTGTGTGTGTGTGTGTGTGTGTGTGTGTGTGTATGTGTGTGTGTGTGTTTTCAGGACAAATGTACAGTACAGTGTCAACAAAATAATCTCCATGTTTCATTTGTTTAAAACTGAAAGAATTCCCTTTGGTTACTGAGATTAAGATTAGGGTTAGGTTTAGAAATTTCTTATTGCCTATAGTAATACTTACTAAAATAATTACTTAAATTGAAAGACGTAGCATTACTGAGTCATGCTACATGCTATTTAGCAAAATATGCTAAAATAAGGTGCTACAAAATGTTCTTCCACCTGTTGGGTGCAGTTCCAGATTCCCACCAGAGAGGTCTCCAAATCCTCAAAACGTGCAGCTTTTTAAAAGTTTTATTGCAAGTAGTTTTCGTTTCTGTTGCTCTCTTCGCCATGAAATGTTTGCAGATTATAAAGTGCAGCTGTGGTCAGAGGTGGTCAGTATGACAATATTATTCGTCATCGTGCTAAATTACGTAGAAAATAAATATCATGATGCATATCATGTATCAGAAAAATGTCTTGAAGTGTCACAATATATTTTTGCCTCATTTTTCACCCCAGTAGATGTCAAATAATAAAAAAAAAGAAAAATAATATAATATAATATAATATGATATGATATGTGAGTTATGTGGTTACACAGTATTGTACAAAAGTGTTGTGCAAAAGTCATTTCAGAAATTTTCAAAAAGCTATTTATTTGGGCAATAAGCAATTTTTTGTTCTCATAAAAGCATTAATGTTGAATGTGCTTCATGTAAATGATATGTAAATAAGGTGCAGTTAGGCTGGCGCTTGATCTTACAAACTGAAGCTGATTCATCATTTGCGCTCAAATCTCAACTTGTTTTCACCTCATACAAAGTTTCATGAATCAGATGCAGAGTATTTAGTACATCATTAAAAGTGGTAAAATCTGCTCTTTTTTACGAAACTTTAATTAATTGGGGCTGTTCTGTGCAATATAACATCCCCTGCATGCACCCTGAAGTCATCATGTATGGTGTAGTGCACAAGTAAAAACACTTTTATCCAAATAAGTGGTTTTAAACAATTTGCTGAGCATAAAATATATCAATGTAATACATACCACTGCTGTCGGAACAAAACTTTGTATGTCCAAAATGGTAACTTTACAGTAGAGGGAAAAAACATCCTTTACTTTTATTGTAAGTCAATGGAACCAGACTTTTTTTGGGCCGTTTCTTTTGGTCCATTCATCCTAAAATTGACATACAATGTAAAGGACCACAGGCATTTTCAAATTATGTCAAAAACTGAAAAAAATGGAGATACAAGGTTTTGTTCTGACAGCAGCGATATATTACACATATGGCAAATATGAATGCTCTCATGTCCTGACAAGACACAAAAACAAAAATGACTGTGTGTGTGTGTCTGTTATCATGTAGTGCTTCCTTATACGCTGCCACACTAAATGAGCCAAGCAATCCAGCCCTTCCAATCAGGCTGTATCAGAGCAAGAGGAAATGGCTGGTGTTGGTTTCTGGCCAGATGAGTTCTAATCTGGACGTAGTAGAGCCCAGAATCAGTGGTGTGTGTGTTTGGGCCGGCCCCAGCCGCGTGTTCTCATTATCAGCCGTGTCTTGTAGCAGAGCAGAGGCGGTTGGGCCAGGTGCTGAGCGCACAGGCCAGCAGGAAGCCATTACACTGTCGGTACACACCAGTCCCGCAGTGCACTGACAGCAGCCCATCTCAGAGCTGGACACAGCCCAGGACTGGCCATGAGCTCATCTTCACTGACCATGGGGTTTCACTAAGAGCAGGGTCAAACCTGTCTAATAAAACTGTCTCTAAATCCATAATGACTTCAAAATGAGAACTTCTGAAGTTAGCTTAGCTGCTGATTGACATGCTGTGCAGGCGTAGCCAAAAGTGTGGGCACATCCTCAACAGAGAACACACTTCTGCACATTTTAATGCACAATTACTGTTTATTTGCTGGGAAAAAAAGAGTAAAACATAAAATGTGGCTTGTGCAAATGTTGTGGCACATTTTTATATTTTATGTTCTATTTTTTCCAATATGTTAAACAAATGAAAAATGCCATATTTAACTCACCTTTAGAGGATTTGTTAACTTAGAAAATCAACAAAACATAGAATCGGAGTGGTGTTTTTCGAAACTTTTGCACAAGTCTATATATACAGTACTGTTCAAAAGTTTGGAATCAGTGTTTTCAGTAAAACCAGAATAAAGCCTGAAATTATTCCAATATGCTAGCCTTGTGCAACTTCTCATGATTTAAATAATTGGTAGGAAACTTAAAATCACCGGACAAAAAATTAATCACCTGTGACTGAAATGTACCTAATAGTGTGTAATACCTCCACAAGCACGAATAACAGCGGCGATCCGATTTGCGATCTGAAGTTTGGGGCGGTCGCAATACTGATTTATTAACTATTTCATCATTTATAACATTATATATCTTCTCTTGAAATATAGTTTGTATGAATATCAGAACATTTTAATCAAATCAGACTTCGGAGAGTCTCTCTCTCTCCTGCCTCTTTTTGTCCTAGCTCTTCTCCAGCATGGCAAAGCTTTCACTATTCCAAAGTAAGGATGCGTGTGATTTGAAGTTCTCATGCGATATCTCGTTTGTTTGTACCCTGTGGTTTTATCTGTATTATGGGAGTAATGCTTGCTTTGTATGGATGGGGTAGTTGGTACATGCTGTTTTGTTTGTTATTGCTCAATGGTCAGTCATGTCGTTAAGCTTTAGTTGCTGCCCGTAAAATGTGTTTGAACGTTTGTACATGAATTCAACTGAGCTCAGCAAATAAACAGCATTAAAGTGTGCAGCAGTCAAACTTTTGTGCACAGCTGTATATTAAATAGCAAAACATTAAAGTGACACTCATTCCAGACTGTTTCTGGGTTTCTAAATGCTAACTCATGTTTGTACTTTTAGATCGTAGGTCCATCTGACGGGTCAGATTACATCGTGGACTACTACGGAGCGAGACTCGTACGGCTCTCCATAACAAACGAAACCTACAAACGGACGCAGATGTCACCGTGACAAGGTGAGGAGCAGGGCTTAAGAGATAAACTCTATTACATGAAACGGGGGCTCAGCCAGACGCTCAGAGGCTCACAGGAAAGTGGTGGTGTTATGTACTCTAAGGCTACGTTCATGCATCAGGTAAAAGTGGCCCAAATCTGATTTTATCACCAAATCCGATTTTTTTGTTTGGCTGTTCACAATATCTTTTAAATGTGACCTGTATGCTACATCAGTCTGAACAGATCAGCTCCTAAACTGAACCACATGCGCAAAAGAACAATGCTCGTCTAGAAGTAAACAATCACGACCACCAACGAATGCAGATCCGTTTCAGGAGGATTCAGTTTCATCTTCACCAGCATAACAGGAGCCATCATGAAGCTTCACTGACTTAAAGCTGGGCTCATCACCCAGAATGTGTTCTAACTCGCCATAAAAAGGGCTCGGTCACTTCTTTGGTTCGTGTCCTTGTATTCTTTAAACTTTGCTTTCAGACTTTTAACTGTTCTTTGACGCTGCAGCCTCGTTCTCCCTTTCTTTCAAAATCTCTTCGAACATTGAGCAGTTGAGATACGTCTCTTCTAATGTTTTGATACAGAAACATCACCCCAAATGTTTACAAGGTCCCAGCAGCGCAAAATTATGCCGAATGTCGGGTTGGATTGAGGCATGAATTCTGATCTGGCTGTTCAGACTGAGTCACATTGCCCCATATCAGATACGTATCAGATTTCAGTACCACATATGAAAGCGTCTCAAATCGGAATTGAGAATGTCAGATTCAGTGTGTTTTTGCTGTTCACACTGACACGTCTGTGTCACATATGGAGAAAAAGATCAGATTTGGGCCACTTTTACCTGCTGTGTGAACACAGCCTAAAGGCGAGAAGCAAGCAGTGATATTTTTAGAAGTATTTTATAATTAGGTCAATTTACCAACAACGACTTCCACGCAGGATTGTTGATATCCATTTTAACCAAAGACGCTCTAGGCCACTCCACCGGTGTTGCAGTACTGCACTCTTGCTCTGGCGTGTTCTGTGGGAAAAGACTTTTTCACACTCTTTGTTGATAAAAGACTCTTATATTGATCAGCTTTTACTTCTCTTTGCACTCCTGATGTAACACGCCTGATTAAGTTGATCAAACATTCAAGAAATATGGCAGAATCCGACAGAACTGATTGAGCTGCAGTAAAACTATTGCTGCATTCCAAACACTGGGGTGCAGTCTACAAACTACAAACAGATGGTTCTTCAAGGGTTCTTTAGTAAAGAAAATGGTTTTGTATAGAACCATGATCGCTTTGCATGAATAAAGGGTTCTTTGCATCGTGAAACTGTTCTTCAGATTGATGGAGAATGTCCTAAAGAACCCTAGATAAAACATCTTTTTTAAGAGCATTGAAAATGTTCCTGTTTATTTTTTTTAAGTTAGTGTTGTGTCCAGACTTTTGGCCTGTAGTGCAGCAAGTTCTTTAGGACAGTGACTGCTGAGGGAAGGTCATGGAGATATGCTGACCTCCTGGGGTACAAAAGCAAACCTGCAGATCGAGGACACCTTCAGCTGTGCTGCCGCAGGACGCCCCCCTCTCCCCTCTCTCTCTGGCCCCCAGAAGGAGTGCCCCACTCGGGGACGGAGCGATTAAATGTCAAGCCCTGCAAAGCAAAGTGTGGGGACAGCGCAGCGGCGCCGTGACATCGCACTTATTACAGCTGTCTCCAGAGCTGCATCTGTCTGTCCGGCTCGGTTCTCCCTACAGCACCCCACAAACAGTCTGATCTCATCTGTATCAGAAAGAAGATAGCAGACCACTCTTCTCTACTCCCGCTGTCTCTGTCTCGCTCTGTCTCTCTCTCTGTCTCTCTCTGTCTTCCTCTATCTCCCTCTGTCTCGCTCCCCTCTCTCTCTTCTGTGATGACTGGTTTATGTTACTTACATCATTACTGATAACAGACACATGTGGAGCGTCATGAGGAGCTGTTACGACTTCAGAAGTGTTTACATCTGAGGAGAAGTTGAAGTTTTCATTTCCAGTCACTCTGGCTGTCTCTCTCTCTTTCTCTCTCTGTCTCTCTCTCTCTCTCTCTCTCTCGCTCTCTATTTTTTGTCTTTTTTTGTCTCTCTCTCTACCCCATCACTCGCTCTCCCCCTCTCTCGCTCTCTGAGTCTGTCCCCATCTTTCTCTCTCTCCCTCTCTCTGTCTCTCTCTCTCTCTCCTCTCTATTTCTAGATAACACTTTTTTTTTTTTGTCTCTCCCTTGATTTCTAGATCTGTGTGTGTTGCTCTCTGTTCTGTCATTCTAAAGCTCTTTCATGTTCTCTGTCCCTTTTTTTTTTTGTCTTTTTTTGTCTCTTCTTCTAAATTGCTATATATATATATATATATATATATATATATGTGTGTGTGTGTGTGTGTGTGTGTGTGTGTGTGTGTGTGTGTGTGTGTGTGTGTGTGTATACCTGTCTCTTACAGAGCCCTGCTTGTGACATCCCGTATAAATAAAAAATAATGCATGGCCACAACTTAATTATCTCGTTCCCACACCTTACTAAGTTGTGGTCACGACTTAGTAAGGCATGGCACTGAGATAATTAAGCCTTGACCACTAATAAGGCATGATCTCGTTCCCACGCCTTACGAAGTCGCATTATTTCTATTTCTTTGGGATGTCACCAGCAGGGCTCTGGAGTCTCTCCTTCTGTCCATACGCATATAACTTTTTTCATGCTCTTTCATCTTATATGCAGTGTTAAACACTGGGAGGGTGATATCGACGCTTTGATATATTAGTTACAGCTGATAAATACAGCCAGCAACTTGGCTCCCTGTAATACGTCACCAGTACTGGGCATTTCCATTCTTCATGAACTCTCTGAAATGGAGTATAGTGGATAACACAGTCTCCCCACACGCAGGAGCCCAGGTTCAATTCACTGTTCAGGCAGGACCTCCACTGATATACCAACAAACTTTACATTCCCCTAGCACTGTAAGTCACCCTGGGTAAGAGCGCCTGTTATCATTATTAGTTATTGTCATGCTTAATTTAGCCACATCAAAGCTCAGAGGGCTGGTTATTGGCACCTGTATCAGCCACAACAGGGTTAATTGCCGGTTATCATTTCAGCCCAGACATTCCATATCAGTGTATCCCTATGAATTACATGTGAAACTATAGTGATGTTTTGATGTGAGCAGAGGAGTCGAGCTGAGATGAGGAGGCTTCGGCGCTGGCGTGTGGTGTGAAGACTGGCAGGGAACTGCTGAGAACAAAGAGTTCCTAAAAAAGAGCCCTCAAACTCACAATAGATTCAGATTTCAAATTTAATTTTGGCCTGTCAGAACGAGTTTCTCAGGATTTACCCCGAGGATGAAAGTGAGTCAGGAGTTCCGTGTGAAGATGTTCTTTCTCACAAAAGGAAAGTAAAAGATCACAGCTACATTTTTAGCATGGGAGTCATCCCTGGCCATGTGTGTCTCTTCCAGACTTGGAAAAATCACATTTATCTTCTCAGTGTGTATTATTCTGGACCTGCTTCCAAACATAGCTAACTCTTCTCTTTCTCTGCCTTTAGGTGGAGGGAGAACACAGGACAGAGGAGCTCACGTCCAGGACTGTCATTAAAATCTATTCTTTTTCCTCTCTCCAAACGGGAAGACGACAGAACACGCCAGACATCATGCTGCGTGTGAGAGTGCAAAAAAGAGTCAAATAGGAACGGCCATATGTTGAGCTTGTGTTAGCTACAGTGCACTGGAACGTCTGCAGAAACTCTACAAAGCCACATCTCCAGTCTCCATCTCTCTCCCTACTTCCATCCATCTGTCCTTCATCTCTTACTTCTGTGATCCTGAGGGCTACAATAAAGTTCACCCCTCAGTTCTTGCCCTCCAAAAATGATCTTGGCAGGTGAAATTGTCTTAAATTTAGTCGATATATCTAATATTTTTGATTTTGGGATTTATTTCGCTTATTTTTTACTTTTATATGATTTCTAGATGTTTTACTTGTTTTAAGTTATTTTAAAGCATATTTCTTAAAACAAGCAAAATTATAGGTTAATACAGTGAGAATAGAGGAAATCACTTAAAATAAGTAAAAAAAAAGTCTCAAAAATAAAATATTATAATAAGCTTACAGCAATCTTAAATTGAGAAATATGAGAAATATCAACTAGGTTTAAAATAATTTTACTTGCCAAGTGTTTTGTTTTGCAGTGTGTGGAATGTGTCAGATTCTGTTTGTTATTTAAGCAGTGTAAATAAAGTTTTACTGTAAAGGCCAATTCTACATGCATCATGCTTAAATTCTGTGCTACTGGTTCAGTACAGAGCTCAGATACCAGAGTGATGTCACTCAGTAAGATGAATCGCACAGTGAAGCTTGTATACTTTTGTGTCTTTTTCATCATTGTGTTTTTGTTATTTAAACAATGTAAATAAAGATTTACTTTCCTCAACAATTCTCTGTGCATGCTGGCAGTGTCTTTGTTTTACTGGTTTAGTTTGAGGTGTTGCAGTAAGTATATTCATATTAATTTGTACCAGTACATGTGTTACGAGAAAATATGGACTGTTTTTTGTGATTTTTATGCTGTAGCATTTGCGATATCGTTCCAAAATATCGGTTGCATTGGTTTCCACTAGGTCGATCAGCCATCATGCAGAATTGGCTGATTTTTTGCAATTGACCTATAGCCATCTGTGACTGGGAGTCCAAATAAGCACAACTGGTCTCTCTGGGTGGCTAGGATGGTCCTCCTTCCCTTACTCAGCACAAGGCTAGCTACCAAAGGCATCTGTTAGCTGACATAACAGAATTGGCAGTTGGTGTTTTTCTTCAGTTAGTGTTTTTCTCTGTTGAGCTGACTAATGGTGCATTAGTAACAGTTTAAAGAGATGTGGTGGCTGGTGTTCACATTACTCGCCGAGAGCCCTTGCCCTCCTAGTTCTAGGTAGATTGTGTGGTTGAAATTTAGAAACATAGAGGGTGTATTGCTGAATGAAGAGGCAGGATGCCAGTTCAAGGCCTTGATTTTTATTAAGAATGCATGACAAAAAAGGCATTCCAAAGGTGACGAAACAAAGACAGAACACTACTGAACAAAATACTGAAACAGAAAAAAAATTCAAAGATAAAGGGACATGAAGAAAACTAGAAAACAAACGAGATAACCAAAACAGGGCCTGAGAGAACAAAACACCAAGCAAACACAAATACACATGGAACAGACCAGAAACACCTGCGACTAATGAGAGGATGGGGCTACAGACAACAGACAGGTGAGACAGATAACAAGAAGGCAGGACCAGGGAGGAGACAAAAACCAACACAACAACAAAAGCACGTGGGACAAGAAAATAAAGGCAGAGAAAGACGAGCAGGGCAAGACAGGATGTTGATGGAATTCCTCTTTAAAAGTGATGTGCCTTACAATGGTGATGATAGGAACCAGCATTAAACTCATCAGACGTCTGGTTCCTATCACCACCACTGTGAACAATTCTGACTCAGGAAGTTTCACTAGAAAAGCACATTTCACATCAAACCACTCCGAATGACTGTGTGTCACATCTTAACAAGTTAATTAGGCAGAAATCAGTGAAATTCTCCTTTAAGCTGTGTAAGTGAAGTTTTACGCTAATTGACTTTCTGTACTTCTGCATTGCTGGTTAGCTGCAGCTCTCAGACGGCAGAGAAACGTTTATCACACTGGAGCTTCCTGTATTAAAATGTGTCCACTTTTTTCTGCCCCTTCTGTGATCTTCAGACAATCTGTGTCAGTGCAATGTCAAGCGCTCCTTCAATTTCACTAGAGTGCGTCTGCTGGTCTGCGTCCACCGGCTCACTCTGCCCGTCATTAATACAACCTCCAATAGAGTCAGCCACTTCATCACACTCAAGTGATTGCTGCATCGGCCTGTCAGACTGCGCCCACTGTGCGTGCGTGTGTGTGTGTGTGTGTGTGTGTGTGTGTGTGTGTGTGTGGAGCGAGCATCTTTTACAAACTGCAGTGTCCTTGCCACAACATGCACAGCTCAGCTTGGGCATGTGGAAATAGATTTAGTCCGTTCCCCCAGCGTCGATGATAAGTTACCAGCGCTGGCATGGGACACTTACTCAAGTCCCATGAGACAGTCTCTCCATCTATATAAATTCTGACCATACCTTGACATTGAAAATTCAATAGCTTGGATTCAGGAACTCAGAAATCTGGCAGTTCTTTAAAGGGCCCATTTTCTGTGTTTTGCTGACCATGAAGTCCAACTATAATACTTGGTGCTATTTTGTATCAAAAACAGCCATCATTCATCTTTAAGTGACCATTTTAAGTGACCTCTCTTTATCGCTTGGGCCCAATCCCATTTCACCCCTTGCCCCAACCACTTAGCACTTAGCCTAGCCTTGCACATTCATGCGTATGGGGAAGGGTGTCCCGATTTGTGTTGAGATAGAGGGGTAGGGTGAAGTGTTGGGGCTACATGACCCTCCAAACGGAGGTTTTTCGGAGACTCACTCCAACAGTGTTATGAGAAAAAAAGAAAAACTGGCCAGATGGCTGCACAAGTATGGAAGTCCGGAGAGGTGAGCTGTTGTTATCTCAAGATAATTAATGTAATACCAAGATAATTAACTTGTCATCTCAAGATAATAGCTTTTGTTATCTTGAGATAACAAGATAATTAACTCGTTATCTCAAGAAAACAACTTTATGTTGAGATCTCAAGATCATTAACTTGTTATTTCAAAATAACAACTTTTGATATCTTAAGATGCCAAGATAACTAACTCGTTACTTCATGATAACAATCCAGAAAATTTTAACTACCTCATGGCCTCTCTGGACTTCCATAGCGCAAGCGACCAAAGAAACCCACAAATGAGTATTTTCTCCATTAAAAATTACGATAACCATTGTATTACTATAGGTTATTGTCGGTTCAATGTATTATGGTCCTTTTCCTCATAATAACCATAAAAAAATCGCTAATAGTATGCTAATATCTCGGTAGTTAGTTAGCTAAATTTTCCCTTTCCACCTTAAATAGTCCAGCAGTTCTGATGCCTGAAGTGCCAGAATGTAACTGCTGCTCCATTTAAGGTGGAACATGTAAATTTGAACGAGAAGCTGGCGAATAGCTGACTTCAGCTTCATATCACTAAAGAATTAGGGGTGGGTGATAATAAATAATTAGCACGTCCCTCCCTTTCTGAAAGCATATAATGCCCTAAACTAAAGCCCAGCAGTGAGGTTGATGAACTTTACCCTCCTCTGCTATCACTGCAGGCTGGCAGGGTCGCCTACAGAGCAGCGCTAGTAGCTGTTAATGAAGTCATGCTCTTTTTATTTGAGGGTCCCATTTCATAGAGGAAGATTTCAACCACTGCAACTGGTAACTCAGTTCCAAGGGGCAAGAAGACACTCGAAAACAAGGGGTAGGGGTAAAAATAGGAAACGGGATTGGGCCTTGGAGTTAAACTGGCTGTTTATGTTGCTGTGCTTTTAAGATATATGCAAATGATTTACAGTCATATGCAGAAGTTTAAACCAGGCTGTTTGTGTAGCTGGACTGTATGGACAGGTGAGTGAATGGTCCGCTTTGAAACTTCAACACTGTTCACATGGCTGTAACTTTTATTTTAGCTAAACGTCTGTTGTATCATGTGGCCTGCAAAGCTCAGATTTTATGTGAGTCCTAAAAGGTTGAATGGCGTTATTTTCCACTCATTCTGCTTTATTGTAATGCTGAACTCAAACTTGAAAAGGAAAAAACCCTCATCAAAGCAGCGGTCAGGTTATTTCCCTCCACCCCACCTGAGCTGTTTATACATGGCCTCTATTCTCTTTGTCCAGTCTTTGCTCTTCCTCCTCCAGAGGAGAGCTTATCAATACAGCGGCAGGATAAGAAGCAGGAGATTTATAGCTCTCTCCCCCAGGAGAGAGAGCAGCGCACACAGAGAGCCATTCCTCATCAGGACCACTGCTTTATGGGTGCTCTCTCTCTCTCTCTCTCTCTCTCTCTCGCTCTCTCTCCCTCTGTCTGTCTCTCTCTCTCTCTCTCTCTCTCTCCCTCTGTCTGTCTCTCTCTTTCTCTCTCTCTCTATCCCTCTCTCCCTCTCTCTTTCTCTCTCTCTCTGTCTCTCCCTCTCCTCACCTCCTCTCTTCTTTTTCTCTTTTGCTCTCCCTCTCTGTCGCACTTTATTCTCTTATTCTTTCATTCATTTCTTTCTTTCTGTTTCTCCCTCTTTTCTCTGTCTCCTCTCTCTTTCTTCACCTCCTGTCTTTCTCTTTCTATCTCTGCTTTCCACTCTCAATCTCTATGCTTTCTTTCTCTCACTCTTGCTCTTTCTATTTATCCCTTTTTTCTTTGCCTTTCTTGCTCTCCATCTCCTCTCTCCTTATCACTCTTGCTCACTTCTCTCTCTTTCTCTCTCTCTCACTCTCTCTCTCACTCATTCTCCATTCCTGCTTTCTGTCTTTCTAACTCTTTCTTTGCCGTTTTATAACTCCCCATCTCTTCTTTCCTTCCAAGTATCTCTTGCTTCTTTACTCTTTACTCCGCCCCCCCCACCTCTGCAGGCCGGCCCGTCTTCTCAGCCCCAGACTCTCCCTCTCTCAGGCCTGTAGAAGGAGGAGAATCCTGCACTGCAGAAAGCATCGATTCCTCCCAGCCTCCTCCAGCTGTCCAGGCCAGGAGCAGAGAGTGGACGAGGAATAAAAGATCAGTCTTTGGCTCTGCAGTGCATGTATGTGTGTGTGTGTGTGTGTGTGTGTGTGTGTGTGTGTGTGTGTGTGTGTGAGCTGATTTATGCTGTTGTGCCTGGTATTAGTGACACTCACAGTCCACACTCACAGCCACACTCACAGCCACCCTCACATCACTGAAACCAGCAGGCCAAACTGGAGGAATGGAGGGAGAAAAAAAAGAAAATAATCTTTTACTTTGGTCTTATCACATACCATACTCTGTCCATCTGCAGAGCCTGACCACACCAGAGCCTGACCAGAGCAGAGCCTGGTCCAGAGAGAGACAGAAACACACACACAGAAAAAGAGAAATATACACAGAGAAAAGCAAAGGAATTCACACAGAAACACAAAGAAATGCATATAAAAGAGAGAAACACAGACAAACACAAAGAAATACACAGAGAAACAGAGAAATACAGAAACGCTGAGAAACACAAAGAAATACGTAGAAACACACAAAAAAACACAAACACACACACAGAAACAGAGAAACACAGAAACAAGGAGAATGACACAGAAACAAAGAAACACAGAGAAACACAAAGAAATACAAAAAGAAACAAAAAATACCCAGAGAAACCCACAGAAACACAGAGAAACACACAGAGAAACAGAGAAACACACAGAGAAACACACAGAGAAACAGAAATACACAGAGAAACAGAGAAACACACAGAGAAACACAAAGAAATACACAGAGAAACACAGAA